AAGCATATTATAACATTTATATGCTATCTGAAAAAATAAACTGAATACGAATTTGCTCCAGGTGTACGCTGATGGACTAGTCTTTCCGGTTTGCCTTGATACCATGAACCATATCCCGAATCGATCACACCCACAGAAGCATATATCCTACAATCTCTTGTTTCTCCTGGAAACGATAAGTATACCTCTTCTGCGCTTAATCTTTGAGTGGCACATTCACGGACGGTACCATAAAGATAATGGTAGTGTGTGCTGCATTTGCCTTGATATGTTGTTGTAACACCATTTATGATTGTATTTTCAACTATAGTATTAATTGGTTGTCTCGATTGATCAATACTAGCGACTACTATATTTCTATCGTACATTCCATATTTAACATAGCCATCACAGACGTGATTGGAATAATATTGGTTTGCCGATATTGGTTTGTAAACTATTACCAACCAATCACGCCAGTCAAATTTTTGAACTAGAAAATCGTAAAGCTTTTCTGAAAAGATTTGATTGCTGAGACTACTTCTTCTTGGATAGTTTCTTGAAAATGAAGCAATATCGTTCTCATATATGTGCTTGTAATTAGATTTTATTACTTCATTTATGTTTTTCATTTTCTCGGTAACGTTATAAAGACGACTTTCCCACTGTTTTTTTGTATACAAGTAATCTGCATCGCCAAACTTAAGTTTTCTATACGCAAGCTCATTATTAAGTCCCAAAACGAGTAATTTCAACATTCCAAGCATAAATACTTGCATTTGAGGTCGGTTATATTGTAACGAGGTCATCGCAGTTTGTAAAATGTCATCAGATAGTCTAAGACCTTTATTCATTCCCATGATACCATGATATAGATCTAATGCACAATTTATGCAGGTATTCTCAAATGAATGTATAAAATAACTTTTCTCACTATCCCTAATAGTCAATGGACCTTCATAAATATTCTTGAAAAGTGTAGAAACCGTAGTTATGTCTCTTTCGGTCTTGCTAAACTGGTTTGAAACCCGGGTCCAATTAAGTTGCCTCTTAATGTCTAGCAACTCATTGTCAATGACATCAAAACGCCTATTCATTTCAGTGTACAGTTGTTTAATGGCTAACAGCTCATGCGATTCGTTGTTACCAAGAAAAGAAAATATAAGACTAACAAACTTTATCGTTGTTGATATAAATGATAATGCTTTTGTGGCCGCGGATCCCAAAAATCCCGAGAACGCCAATGGTTTCATTGCAGTAGTTAAGTCATCAGGAAATTTCAAACCTTCTTTTATCTGATTCAATTGGTCATTATTTACAGTGTCTGCGGAATCAAGTGTGAATAAAGTCAGTAGCAGAAGAGGCAGGAACAATTTGAGACCCATTATCCTCCTTTAAAAGAATTTTAAATATATGAAATACATGTGGCAATTTTTATTGTTTATTTGAAGTTGTTGCTCGTTTTATCGCAGTTATGGCCTGCATGACAATGATTTTTCATATAATTTATCAACATAGTAAATGGAAGAATGTGTCCATGGGACACAGATGATGCCTCCGCTCGCATAAAACGTTATAAATGGACATTACTAGGGAACTGTAAAAGTGACGCCACCCAAATTCGAACTTGATATGTGTTTATTAATAATAAGCATAGTGTATAAGTTTCATTTCATAACATTGTGATGAGGCAAACTAAAGTTAGAGAACGGAAACCAATTTTGGGACGTACGGGCGGACAAGGGTAAAGCTGAATGCCCCCTCCGCTACGGCGGGGGCATAATGATGAAGGGTATTAAGATGATAAGAGGTCCCAAATAAATGTCAGACCATTTACAGATATTTAATGATATTTGTTCATTTCAAGACAGTAGTTTCTCACTAGGCATACCTCGTTCCGACTTTTCTTTATTGTGCAACTAGAACTGTTTCAAGCTTATACGATTTCAAGTACTAGTATTTATAATTCATTTACGTGAATATTTGCGAAACTGAATTCAAATTAAGACAAACAAAAATATGGACATTTCAGATTTCTTTTATATTTTTCAATTTATTTTTTTTATTTGCATAGGAGACTCCGGTATGATAACCATAAAAATAAGAGGATGTGGTATGATTACCAATAGACATTTACGGAAAGTCTCGGTACCGACTGTTGACACCGACTCTGACAGGTAAAACGAAGATGTCGTCTTATTATAAAAAAGTACCAAATAATTAGCTTTTCAAGGTAAAATTTGCAAATAACAGTAAAACAAGATTTTACACAACGATTTATTTAATCAAATAATGTTTGTCTTCTGTTTACAAATCCTGCACAAGTCTCCACAATTTGTCTGAGTTTTTGTCTTGGGTACCCACCACTTTATAATTTCAAAATTGCCATCGCAGCCTTTGAGCGTTCAACTTCTCGACCAAAAAGAATGAAGGATTGATGAATGGATGGTTGGATGTTCAACTTAAAGTGGCAAGCTAAATTCAGGAAAGGAAACATAATTAGAAATGAATATTTGACCTTGCATAGTACAAGACCGACACACCGATTTTTAACGTTCCATTTCAAAAGGTAACTGTCCGCAGTAAAACATGGCAACCAACCCTAACACATTATTCTGAGTCAGGACCGGCCATGCTTCGTGCTTAGTTGGGAAGCAGTTAATATCAATTTTTAAGTATTTGGTTTGATCAGTGGCGGATCTATAATTTCCAGAAACAGGGGCCCGCTACATTTTTTTGGCTCTTAAAGGGGGTGCAAAATTTTGCCAAACATTTCCGTTATTTTGATAAAATTTTCCAGGAAAGGGAACCAGGTCCCTCTGGGCTCCCCCTAATTCAAATCCACATCTGTTGACTCGAACCAAACTTGGCAGAAATTTTACTGGGTTGACACTTTCCTTTTTCAGAATGGTCGACCCAGCTTTTAATTTGTTGGCTCATATTTTCAAGTAATATGATCAGCACTGATTATATGTTCCCGCTTCTCCCACACCACTTGTTAACTTAGGGAGCTACCTTTTAGTTGTTAATTGTGGGCTTTTTTTTTGGGGGGGGGGGGGTGGGGGGTGGCTAAGAAATTTTTTTTTTTATTTTTTATTTTCAACAAATATCGAGTCGGACGTTTTTTCTTACTTGAACTGGTCCTTGATTTGTTATTTGTTACTTTATTGATACATTGGTACTGCCTTTTTATCGAAAATTTCTTCTTCTTAACCCCTTAAGAATCAAGTGCGCCGCTAGATTAACTTTTGAGACGACCCCTGTAATTTTTGCTGTCAGAGTCGGAGTCAACAGTCGGAACCGAGACTTTCCGTAAATCTCTAATGAGATAACTCTCAATCACCGACCAAATTACGTTTAAGTTAGCAACTACATGTCACCATACGGCCTTCAACATTAAGCAAAAAATATACCGCATAGCAAGCTATAAAAGGCTCCGATAAACGTAAAACAATTCAAACATGAAAACAAGCGGACTGATTTAGGTACAAAACAATAAACGAAAAACAAATATAATATATAGCAACAACGACAACCACTGAATTGCTGTTCGTACAGTTCTATTTTATATTGGCAATTCGGTTACAAAATCAATTGTTGCTTTCCTAAAAGGATGTTTAAGGACAGGCATTTTGACTCTAACACAATGAAGTTAACAATATCTGTCTGTCATATTTGTTTTTCGTAAATTGTTTTGTTACTAAATAGGCCGTTAGTTTTCTCTATTGAATTGTTTCATATTTTTTATGTCAGGGCATTTTATAGCCGACTTTACGGTATGGGTTTTTCTCATTGTTGAAGGCCATTGGCTCTATGGGCCTAAGCTCCATTATTTCCCAGGAATGGACGGTTATTTGGACTTTCTCTATAACGTAATGGACACAAACAAAGAATGGAAAAAATATAAAAAAAATTCAAAGTATACAGAAATGAAAAACTAATATCCAGTTTCTCAAAATGTTGCCATGATGTTGTGTGTCTTGCTCCGACGATGACTGTTGGTTGACCTGTAAGCGTCTTTCTTAAAATTGGCATATCATCAACCAATAAGTTCAATCTTTAATTAGTTACTGAAGTTAAGATGTTCGCTACTCTTGTTATGACTTTTGTCAGATATCCGGAATCCTCAAGTTTTATCCATATAGTGCAATTAAAAATGTGCCCGCTAACCCCTACATTTCTTTTCATAATTTTAAAACATATAGTTTGAAAAAGCCATTTTTAAAAATCTTAATAAATCCTTGTTACTTTTTCATACGTTTTGAAAGAAAAAAATTGTCAATCTCTACTGTAGAAAAGTCTTGAGAGAATCATTTCCCGCCAAATTTTCTATTGATTATATCTCAAAAACAAGGACACAGACCTTTCATTTTTCTGCTTTTCAAGTTCTGTTATTTATTTACTATCAATTTATAACAGTCTTCTTATCGTCCTGAACATGCATGAAATATTTGCCACTGGACGTTAAGAAACCAACAATCATTGACATAACAGTCTTTGAATAAATTTTAAAAGCTTGATATTTTACAAAAGAGGAGCGAACATCATTAACAAAGTGATATCCTTAGAACTATATGCAAATTAAAATTACAAAATATGCAATGTGCGTTTGCTATGGTCTTACCTTAACTTTAATTATTTTGGTTCTAAACAAGTGAGGTCTTTAACATATGAAGTATATCAAGAATGTCTTATCTCAGTATTTAAAGTTCGCGGGATCAATTCACGTGGTAATAAGGATGTAGACACAACAACTGTTTGTTCCAGTGGAATTAGACGGAAAACTCTTATCTTATTTGCGTAAATGTTCTTGTACCCGGAAGTCTATTTAAACAAGTAATACGTCATGTTTTTAAAAAGTATCCCAAATTCAGTTATGTTATTCAAAACTCTGTGTGATGAACATTGTTAAAGACTTATGTTGCCCTTTTAGTTGTTGTCTTATTGACGAACATCTGTGTTATATTTTAATTATGCCATCTGTACCGTATACGATGCATAGTTTTGTATTCAAATTTTAGGAACAGCATACATATTCAAGGGTCGGGGAGAGGTTCAAAGAATAGATAATATGTGGAGGGAGAAAAAAGAATAAAAAAGTGGTGCGTTGAAGGGTTGGCTTGAGTAGGTAAGAAATAATGGAATGCAAAATTATGAAGAATAAAAAACAATGGCAAAAAAGTAAAACATATTGTAGTGAAGGCCATCCTATACAGATTATCATATTCAAACCAATGGGTATCAATATCACACATAATCTTATCCTACAGATGTAAAGACCTGGGTCAATTAATTTGAAATGTCAATTAGTAAAATTACGACAGCATTACCAAACATCAATTGAATTAAAGTTACAATTACAATATTTTGTCTTAATAAGTAATAAATTAAAATATCTGAGTTATTAATCAAATTATAAAATTACTTTTCATCTTGTGATTAGAATGTTACAACACTATAGCATGATAATATTGACACCATGCAGTATAAAATAATGAGATTTGGTATGATTGCCAATGAAACAACTATACATGAGAGTTCAAATGAAGTGGATGTAAGCAATTATAGGCAACCGTACGGCCTTCAACAATGAGAAAAATCCATACCGTAAAGTCGGTTATAAAAGGCACCGCCTTAAAAATGTGAAATAATTCCATTGAGAAAACTAACGACATAATTCATAACAAAACAATTTACAAAAAATAAATATGACAGACATGGACCAATGACAACCACTGAACTACAGTCTCATGGCTTGAGATATGCACATGAAGAATGTGGTGGGGTTAAACATATTTGCTGGCGCCAAACACTCCCAATAACCTGGGATACATGTATTGGTGTAACAATACAACATAATAACACATTAAGTAGCAGTGTTAGCTAACCTAAGGCTTTCGGGCTACATGTACAAATGTATGCCGAGTTGCCAGATTTGTTAAAGCTTTTTATTTAATTGTTTTTCAATATTCTGCAATTGCTTATTTGTTCTGGTCTTCTAGCCCAAGTCCGTCGTACTAAATCGGGCAGATCAGTTATTCGTTTCCTTACCATTGCGTTTGATCATCGTAGCCCATCGTCGTCGTAAACTTTTTTAAAGATCTTCTCTTAAATTACTGAACCAATTTTTACCAAACTTGACATGAATGATTCTTATGGTATCTAGTATAGTTTGTGGTTTTTATCCCGTTCAATCAACAAGCATGGTCGCCATGTCTAAAAATAGAACCTAGGTGTTAAACGCAGTTTTTGGCTTATAACTCAAAAACTAAAGCAGTTCGAGCAAAACTGACGGGGAAAATGGTCAGCAGATGAAAATATTTGCTGGAAATTTTCGGACGAATCGGACACCCCAATTTGGAGTTATTGCGCCTGAAATAGTTATTTTTATGAAATTTCTCAGTTTTTTTGGCTATTATCTTGAAAACTACTAGATGAATAGAAATTTTAAACAGAAAAAAAAATGTTCAGCAAATTAAGATCTACCAATAAGTTGAAGAACAGAAGTCGTCAAAAGTTTTCAATTAAACCCTTAAAGGAGTTATTACCCAAAAAATCATTTTTTTTTTTTTTTCATTTTTTAAATTTGTGTGCAGAATATCTGATAGATAAAGAAAAACTTCAAACAGCAAAACTTTGAAGCAAAGTTAGACCTACAAATAAGTCATACATGACCAAAATCGTCGACTGATCCCGTATAGGAGTTTTTGGAAATTGAAATATGATTTTTAACCATTTTGTTTTGTATTAGGCGAATTGATGTCCACCACCACCCACCCACCAAAAAAAACAAAACAACAACAACAACAAAAAACACAAAAACACAAGACGCAATTATCTAACAAACTACATTATAATTATAACCTTTATCAATTAGACTATTCAGTCAAAAGGAAGTTTAATTTCCTATCATTTTAACTTGCACTATACATAATGTTCATATCATATGCACATGTTTTAAATTTTTTATTTCAGTTGAAAAATATATTCAACAAAATTAACGCAAAATGCACAAAAACTGTTGATGTGAGAAGCAAAAGTAAAACCAAAGGCTTGCATCTATATGCTGATATTGAACTGTCAATTATCGAATATAAAACAAACGAAATATATATCGAAAAAGGTCGCCTGAGATTGCGAAACGTTGTTCCAATAACTCCGACCATCAATCGTGGAATTGACGGCAGACTTCATCCAATGCATAGTGTCGTTTCATATATATAGATTCTACCACTGTATCGAGTGTGATACGATATTTATCCACTCGAGACAGCTAAATTTTCAAATTTAAAACGCGAGGCATGCCGAGCGTTTTAAATATTTAAAATTTAACTGTCGAGAGTGGATAAATATCGTATTGCACAAGATTTGATGGTGGAATCTGTTTCTCTAATGATTATGAAACGAAATGCAGACAAATTCAATCTTTCATTTCGAATGATCTGCAAAAAGATGTGTTCTTTCTATGTGACGTCATCAGGCATGGTCGCCTTTTTTCATGACGTCACAATAGTAAATTCAGAGGAAAGCAAGAAAATTTGACGTCATAATCAAATTTTGACCAATGAAGAACTGAGATCAAACGAACCACACGTTGATTAAATAAAAATAATCAACAGGTCAGGAAAAGGATAAATCGTGAAAGAATAAGAGAAAACATTTTATCATGACGTTATTTTTATATGTAGTTTAGCGTATATGAAAAAGAGAGTATGTAAGCATCGTGTGCCATTCATCCGCAAAATGAGGATTTTTTTAAAAACAAAATTGATATGTTACATATGTATATTTTCAAATTCACATTCAAAAATGTGGGAAAAATCATTAAAATTTGAATATTGGCAATCACTTTAAATGGGACAAAGTTAACCAGCTTCTAGAAAATAGTCAAAATTTTCGTTTGTTCATATTATTATCGATTACATTTTCTACGGAATAACTGATCATGTTCAATAAACATACATTTGTTATGCGAGTTCCTGCACTTATCATGAATAATGATATATTTTGAATCACAATCATGACGAAAAGGGTTACATAACGTTTTTCCTGTGTCTATATGATTGTTGATTAAACACGAACCGCGATTGACACACCAGTTGTATACAGCCATGTTACAATTTCCTTTTTTGCTTTAAAAATATTGTTTAACTGTTGGCTAATGCAACCGAGAAGACATATAACGGCTTTTGTTTCTCCTTCCCAAGCACCACCGTTCCGGAGTAATTGATTATGTTGTGTTACATCTTTGTTGTAATATTGCATCATTTTATTAACCATCCACCCATTTGATCCGAAAGTTCCCTCATCTTTCGATAAAAACAATTTACTTGATTTACTATTATTTCGCATATATTCAAATGGATTTCTCCAGAAATAAACATTGGAAATGTCTGCTAAAAAACATATTTGTATCTTTTTGACCTCAAAAATCTCCGATATTGAATAAATCTAGAGTCGTTTATAGTGTAATCAGTTGGTACATCAGTTTTCATAAATTTAATCAAAGGTGTTTCATATTTTCAAATAACCCTTTATGGTAATGCGTCATGCATGATAACCGTTTTCAGTTTATGATAGAAAACAGTTGTATAAAAGTTTTTGATGTAACTAAAATTTGGACGAATAAAAATAATCCTCTGTGGGTCTTTCTGAGATAAAAAGAAAGTTGCCAGAATTACATCTCCGTCAGTTGCATTTTCACTGTTCACCAAAATTGGTTGTGTCATGTGATTAGGTATCAAATGTTTCTTAGTAAACTGATGTACACTATAGTAGATGCTTACCAACTCTGCGTTTGTCCTATAATAAACACTGCTATCGCTTTTGTTGTTCTCAAGTTGTACATACATGCTCCTTTTAGGCTCTGTATTTAATCTGAATTTCTTAAAGGAAGTGGTTGCAATTAACAAATATAATACACAAACTCCGGTTAAAATCATTGCAGTAAAACTATGTTTCATTGTGTTAAACATAGCAAATAAATGTGCTTGTATTTGTTTACACCATTCAACCGATTCGGAATAAGCAAAACTGGTGTTTCGCAAATAACCAAAGCCAAAAAATATATCCCTACAAAAAACTGTTGTTAGTAGTAGAAATAAATAATAAGTTATAATTTCAATCTTTTCGTCATACACACCTTATGTTGTTACTACTGGATCAGTTAAAATCAGGATTGTCTTCTAACTTAAAAAAAAAAAGAAGTTTTTTCTAAGGTTAGCAAGTGTTAGGTAAATATATATTGATTTATAAACTAACAATTGTGGACACAGATCAGTGTGGATAGTATTTCTTTAAAATTAGTTTTAGTATGATGCACAATGTTTTACTTATTTTATGTATGATGGTGCCTTCTAACTTAAAAAAAATATCGGTCAATATAAATTTGAACATGTCCATAAATAACGTATTGACCTCGTAAAAAGTTGTTAATAATTGTGCACGACACTGTACGTAGTGTGGACACAGATCAGTGCGGATAGTATTTTGAATAAGTTAGGTAAGACTTCATCAAGTGTATGGTGTTGTATTCCCAGTACCTTCTGCCGGCCATCTTTAATTTAGCGGCCATAGTGGATTTTTTCCCGTGGCTCCATATTTGAATTCTGTCTGTCCCCCTTAATCTTTCCCTCTGACATGTTTCATACTTTCACCATAAAGTGATCAAATGTTCTAATATCCGCTGGACTAGAAGGTAAATAGGCCATTTCAGAAACTAAAGGTATGGGTATTTCAATTGTTCGTACCCCGAAATTTAAATAACGTCACGTCATTGGTTGAATAATGAATTTCCATTGTTTATGACGTTTTTAACCAATCACAACGTTTTTGTGTATTCTTTTGAAAATATTACCCAAAATGCATTAGATTATGAAGTGGCTAAATCTCAGATATTTTCTGTCAGTTATGACATTGATAATTATTCTTGATTTGATTTCTCTTATTTGTTTGCCACTTAATTTTCTCGATTTCAACCAATGTTTTTTTTGATTGAAATTGTAATGCAGTCAACCGAGACTTTTTGCCCTATCCATGTGTGATCCTGTCAAATTATCCAAACATATATTTTTAAGTCTAAAACGTTATTATGTAAATTTGTGTATTGTTTCTGTATTAACAGTGGGATTTTCGGGTAAATTACGCATTTTTTTTTTAGATTTCTTTGCAGAAATAGTTTATAATTTGTTGATACTACCACCAAGCTGTAATAAGAGCGGTTCCTTTGCATTTATTCTGTTATATGAATATAGAGATATTTTTGTGTCATAAATTGATACACATTTCATTTTCATTTAACATCTTGAATCACAAAATTTCTTGTAAGGGGAAGAAGAGTCAGTTTGGGTCTATATGCTTTGGTCATGAAAAACCTTGAACTGTCCAAGTACATTTGGTCCGCCTAACAGAAGTTCCCCTTGAAACTTTGTTATGAATAATGCCATAATATTTGTTCCTGTTGGAACAAATATTCTATATCCTTTATTCCGTAAGGAAAAAAAATTGCAATTTATGTTCCAGTGGAAAAAAAAAATATTCTGTAATATTTTTTTTCAATTTGGAACTAACGTTATGAAGGCCTCTATTTCATAGCAGGATACATGACGGCGATAAAAAAAATTTCCGGTTTTCGTATTTTTCGGGATTGAAATTACATACCGGTGCGTAAAATTTCTCGACATTTGTAATTCAAGAACACAAAAAAGGAGCAAAATTTTCCGAAAATTTGTTATCAAGTACACCAAAGAGGAGCAAACCATTTCCCGAAAATTTGTAAACATGAAGTTAAGTACACCAAAATGGAAGCAAAAGATTTCCCCAAAATTTGTTATTAAGAACACACACAAAAAAAAAACAACAAACGATTACCCCAAAATTTGTATCAAGTTCACCCAAAAGAAGCAAACGATTTCCCCAAAAAATGTTATTAAGTACACCAAAAAGGTTCATACGATTTCCTCAAAATTTGCAATAAGGTACACCAAAAAGGAGCAAATGATTTCACGTATTTTTTTATATCTGATTGCCGAAAATTTAAATCTTAAAGCTGATACGCTTAGTAATACAAATTACAGAATATCAGATTACTGGATCCCAGTTTCCATTCACTGACAATGAAACGAATTCTTGAATAAAACCAAACAAGAGATTATTTGAGCCTTGAGCACTTTACAATATTCCAAATTTGTAAGAAAGGGATTGGTCATTACTAGGTACAGTGGTATATTTTAACTGCCAGGTACAAATAAACAGGTAAAGCGGAACGTTAATACCGATAAAACATCTACTTGTTATCTATGTGTATTATACACATTCAAACATCTGTGTGGAACACTTCAGCTGTATGTTAGCCAGGTTTACATGTATAAAACTATATATAATAGCTCGTGGTTTGGTGCTGTCAAGATCCTAATGTCTACTTCTCCCAACAAATTTTCCAGTTCTTTGGCTGACAGCGTCCAGAAAGGTTTTACTGACGTGAGTATCACAACCTTTATTCGTTTATTTTAATAAAAACTACATACCCGTGCCGAAATATAAACAACACAAACATTATCTAAGTTTGCCGACAGCCCATCATGCTCGATAGTCGCCAATTGTATTAATAAAATCAATGCATACATAATTCAAAATAATACAATTCCTATGTGTATATTGTCCTAAATACAACCAAACAGAACCAACTTTGACTAAATATACCCCTTCATTGACCTTCATAGACGGTCAGGGCCGGTCAGGAACAACTAGAGATAAAAATGATATACATACTCTATCAAAAAGCTCTAGAAACCTGGGTCAATCGATGCCAAGTGCCTCCAGGGTCAGGTGCTCGGACCTGCAAATTAAAAATGTGTGTATTAGCAAATCAAATATAATCATAAAAAATATCATTGTATATACATCCAAAATGTAAGTTGAGTGTTCACTAGTTGCACGACAGCTAGAAAGTGACCGTTTGCTTTATTACCAGAAAGTACACCCATTGGTCACTACTATAAGTGACCCTATTATATATTCATACGACCCGTACCCGTCAATACAATATTTCGCAGCTTTACGTAAACGAAATGCGGGAAAATACAATTAAATGTAAGTTAAACATAAATGAGGTACAGAGGCCCATCCCCGACAAGTAATATAGGCGGGTCAATTATATTTCATTTTGTCTTTCTCTCTGAAGTGCTATTTTTGTCATATTCCAGGGTTCGAATTACGATGCCTACAGACCAAATTATACAGACGAAGCGACAAATGAAGTTAAACGGATGCTGTATTTTGATTCTCAATATGGTATGATATACTGTTTGTTAAAGATAGGCGAATGATACCGTGATGACATTCAAACTCATCAGTCAAAAACAAACTGACAATACTATGAAAAAAAAGACAAACGACGAAAAGACAAACAACAGACAGTATATATGTTACAGGGAATTTGTATAATCTGTGATTATGTAGAATCCCTAAAATTTTCAGGGATTATGTAGAATCACTGGTTAGTTTAGGGATTATATATAATCACTAAAATTTTCAGGGATTATGTATAATCACTAGAAAAAATGTCAGGGATTATACATAATAACTGGAATGATAAATAAGTTTTATTTTATAGAAAATGAATAAAAGTTAAATCATTAATTCGTAAATAATCATATTATAACATCATTATAAACATAAATTGTAAAATGTTAAGCACAATATATTAAAATGATAACCTCAATACATTGAAATTTTAGGCACAACATATTAAAAAGTAAGGAACAATAAACTTAAATATTAAGCACAAATTATATTAAAATGTTAATAACAATATTTCAAAAACAATCATCTATTTGTACAAACTAAATTTGGGTGACATCGACTATTGCACGTTTGCCCTGCTTTTTTGCAAGCACATCTATTTGATCCTGGCACATCTGATTTAACCACAACATCCACATTTTGAAAAACCTTGTCCTTCATATATTGATTTAGATTTTACTACACGTCTAAGAGAAATAAAAACTACGTACAAACATCTAAGATACCAAAACTAGAGGCCCCCAAAAGCCAGTGTCGCTCACTTTATTCTACTTTGGTTTTGGAAATCATGTAAAAATAGATTAAAATCATAACAAATCTTTCGTTCTGTATGTTTTCTATGTCTTAGTTGAGCCAGTTCTCTCATTTAGAATTTCGTGTTCATTGGAACACAAAATACACAAAACAGATGTTCCATAACCTTCTACACCATTTGTTTTACCACAAATAACATACACTGTGGATTTACACTTAGAACATTTTTGTCATAATTATGATCTTGGTAAACCATGATGGACTTAAAATTAAGAAGATTGCATATCAACTAAAAATGAAATGCTTCGCTGAGCCCAGCCTGATACGACCGCAGTGGTGGAACCCTGAACAGTTGGGGCAAATTTGGACACAATATTCAAGCTTGATACTATCTGAATTTGGATTGTAATCAAATTTTTGACATAATATAGGTTTATGACACAAAATAAATGTGGTCAAAGATTTTACAAATCTAATGCGCAATACTGTGCAATTGATGATTTCTTCTTGAAACTTTTAAAAAATTTGAAATTTGAAAAATTAAAAAAAAAAATATGAACCCCTTAAAAAAAAATTGGACCCCCCTTTCAAACTTTTTTATCCCCATTTGGAGCATTAACCATCAAACTCAATCCCAGTCTTTCCTTTGTAGTATGGAACCTTGTAGTACAATTTTAGAGAGATCCATTTCACAAGTGATTGTCTGGAAACTAGAAAAATGCTTATTTGGGCCTCTTTTTTGCCCCTAATTCTCAAACTGTTGGGACCATAACATCCAAAATCAATCCCAACTTTTCTTTTGTGGTTATATACCTTGTGTTTAAATTTCATAGATTTCTATTAACTTATACTAAAGTTATTGCCCGGAAACCATATGTCTTCAGACGACACTGACGACGACAACGACGACGGCGATGTGATACCAATATACGACCGCAAAAATTTTGCGGTCGTATAAAATTTGTCTACGTGAATTTAATTCTTTGCTTAAAGAGGGACATTCAAACTCGAAAATTGAAAATAAGATGACAACGCCATGGCTAACGTACAATAGGTTTAACAACAACAAGTCCCAAATATGATCACTAATGTGATGCCATTTGTGGAAATATGTATATGATAACTAGTACTTTTATTTCTGTATATCTAGTTTTTTATTGCTTTTGCAATTTACAAAATTCATTTTTTCGTCAGATATTTTAAATTTATTATTTTCTAGATCCATGCCCAACAGCCCCCATCCTATGTTAATGTTTAACGATGTACAGAGTGTAATATGTATGAAATATAAGAGATGTTAGGAGCCTTTAAACAATTTAAATCCGGACTTTTTATTCACTTAAACTTTCAAGGAATAAGAAAAAAGCAAATGATAATTTGTCTATATTTAATTTTTATCAAACAAAGGATCTTTGAATTATTGATAATCCCTAAAATCATTTCAGGGAATTTGTAGAATAATTAATAGAATGTTCAGTGATTATGTAAAATCACTGGTCATTTTCAGGGATTATATATAATCACTAATAATTTTAGTGATTCTACAAAATGCCTGAAAAATCAGGGATTCTACATAATCCCTGATTATACAAATTCACTGTAACATATATATATATATATATATATATGATTTTCTCTCCGAGACACCCGAATCCACAAGTTTCTTGGTGAATTTAGGTCAATTTTTTATTTAATTTGAAATTTTAACATGCATTTCCTTTTCTTTGGTTTTTAGTTACGGCCTTGGTACTTTTGATAAGCCAGTCAGTGACCAAATCGCACAAAACATATCTAAGCTGGTGTTTTCTTATCTCAGACTGTCTTAAATATAAGAATAAGAAGATGTGGTATGATTGCAAATGAGAATGAGACAACTCTCCACAAGAGACCAAATGACGTAGAAGTTATCAACTATAGAGATTCATAAACCTTCAGCAATGAGCGAAACCCACACCGCAGTACTCATGATGTCAAAGCTGTATTGATAATTAACTTTTTTTTTGGTTGTCTGTGACTTGGCAGATAACTACCTTTACATATTTTACAGATTCAAGAATGACAGTCTTAGAGCTTGGTGCTGGAACCGGAAAATTTACACAGAAAATAACCGCAAAGTTGAACGATGTGCGATCCATGAAATCATTAAAGATATAAGAGAGGGATTATACGGTTTTGGGATGTGGGATATAGGTTAAAAACTGCGAATGTTTGATACAGGGTGTACTAAAGTGTGAATGTTGGAAATAGGGGGTAAAAGTATGGAAATTTGGAAAAAGCCGGGAAAAAAGTGGAAAGTGGGAAAAAAATAATTACAAAAAAGCTGGATTTGAAGAATGAGCACCCCTATTTAAGAATAGAACTTTTGTAAAACATGTTATGCAGCTCTGCACAATTAAGAATGTTTGTTGGAAGTTATCCTATAATTTGTATATGTTTTATGGAAAATCTTTATTGGAAAGTTTCACTTTTCATCTAGATATTGCGCAGTGTGTATGCTTTTATATCTACGTATCAGTTGCGATCGCATAGTCGCGGTATTCAAATAAGAGTGCTGACAGATACGTAGATAGAAAAGACTTTATATCACGATGAGATCGATATTTGACAAAAATCATGCTAATGTGTCGGCTGTTGAAGGCAACAAATTATAAGACCGTTTTATACTAGGTTGTTTCTCGTTATTGTGACTTAACGTTAAGGCCAATAATGACCTTGAACAAATTTAAATATAGTTTACTTCATTTGATTATTAAGTCAATATAGTTACTATAAATTATTTTTATGCAATACATTTATGATATTTTAAGATATAAAAGCAGTTGTTTACTGTATTTTTTAAAAATCCGATTCACACCCCGTTTTGTTGGGATTAGAATTGCTCAATTTTTAGAAAACTCCGAAACAGCGGTGGCATTGCTTTCCTTAACTTTATAGGTCAACGTAGCGAATGAAAGACGACGTAACCACTGTTTCTGAGTTTGAATTTTTAGGCTTCCTGGTTGTGCATTTTCATTTGATTATAGTTTTTGACTGATCACTTTGTTTCTTCCTATTTTTAATAAACCCAACCCTTTGAATTAAAGTGCAATAAACTATATGATTTGTTTTAGAAAGTTTCCTACATTGCGACAGAGCCAATGTCAGATTTTCTCAAAATTTTAAAGAAGAATTGTCCTGTAGTAGAGACAAAGCAGTGTGCAACAGAGAACCTGCCTGTAAATGATGAATCCATAAAGGTATTCTACGTATTAGAATTCTCGTCACAGACGCATTGGTACAATTTCGGTGGTATAAAAAAAATGAGGAGGTGTTGTATGATTGCCAACGAGACAACTTTCATAGACCAAAGGACAAAGATGCAAATAATAAATGCAACTGGTTGACGTACGGTCTTCATCAATCAGCATACCGTAATGAAAGCTAAAGAAAACGGCCCAGTATGACAAAATGTGAAACAATTCAACGATAAAATAAACGGCCCAGTATGACAAAATGTGAAACAATTCAACGATAAAATAAACGGCCCAGTATGACAAAATGTGAAACAATTCAACGATAAAACAAACGGCCCAGTATGACAAAATGTAAAACAATTCAAAAATAAAACAACCGGCCCAGTATGACAAAATGTGAAACAATTCAACAATAAAACAAACGGCCCAGTATGACAAAATGTGAAACAATTCAACGATAAAACAAACGGCCCAGTATGACAAAATGTGAAACAATTCAACGATAAAACAAACGGACCAGTATGATAAAATGTGAAACAATTCAAAGATAAAACAAACGGAACAGTATGATAAAATGTGAAACAATTCAAAGATCGATAAAACAACCGTCCTGTTGTATACTACAACAATGAACGGAATACATAGTTTACTTTTATTAATTGTGAAATCCTATGTGGTGCTCGTTATAACTGTGGTAGCATTTTTGGTGTTTTTATTCACTTTATTTGTTATTTTGTGCCCTTCAATTTCAAAAACAATCTCTTTTCCCTTTTTTACACTGGATAGTATCTAGATAATTTGATCATTCGAAAAAGCTGACATACTTTTATTCGAAATCATTCGATGGTTTCATTTCTTCTCTATATTGTTTCAATGTAATCTACATACTAGTCATTTTTAAATAACTGACTCGACGAGACCTTCATGCAACTGCACTCCACCCCCATATAAATATCCACAAACACCATTCAATTCTTATATTTACAGATTTTCGAGTCAAAACAAGATAGTGTATGTTATTCACATTTTGAATCTGGAAGTAAAACTTGAAATACAAAATCTCGGCAAAAAATGTCTAGTGGAATAAAAGCAGTATCATTCCACGTGAAATCAATTATAACACGTCATATACAAATGAATAAAGGTGAAATTGGCCTATGAAAATGTCGTTTTCAAAGGAGATACAAATAGCTCGTAAAATATTTACCCAATTTCAGTTGTATGGATAATAATTTATTGTTCAATATTTTTAGCAATTTGTATACATGAATAAAAAATCTACTGTTAATATATAAATGATTTTTCTCTCTCTCCATTTAGTTGAAACTAAAATAATCATTACGTGTTTGAATTTACAACCGTTTCCTCTGGCGCTTTGGATGAAGATTTATTGTATAACATATTATGCGAAATATATCTTGCTCACAGCCTACTGATGAAATAAAGACGATGTTTACAATAACAGTTTGAATGTGCTATAATGATTGTTCCATCTATAATTCTTTATATATATATAGTGTATTGTTGCTGCACAGTCTTTCCACTGGTTTTCAACAAAGGCATCCTTGGATGAAATGCATCGTGTTCTTGCTGAAAATGGAAATGTTGGTATGTATAATTCGTACGAGGGTCTGGATGGTGGGTCCTCCTTTTCTTTATTTTTTAATTGTTTAGACCATTTTTTTGCTATTCTTTATTTATTTTGGCCATTATTCTCTACTCTTTATATTTCAGCAACCCGTTGTTCTCTATTCTTTATTTTTTTTCCTTTTATCCTCTTTTCTTTTTTTTTAGCCATTTATTCTGCAATTTTTGCCCATTATTCTCTATTACGTAAACCCCATCCAGACTCTCTCGTAAAGACTTTCCAAATTACTTGTTCCATTTACATTTTAGTTAAAGGAGTAGGTCCGGTAAGGGCCGATTTTGGCCTCAAATTTCAGGTTCATCTGATGAAATATTTTGGACACTTTTTAAACACTCAAGTGTCTACTTTAGTAGATTCAATTAGTTTATCTGAAGGATTTGGGCCGATTTAGTCACTAAAGACGCTCAAATTCAGGCTTAAATATTAAAAATCTATCAATTATGCCATAATATGTCACTTTTCAGATGGTTTTTGTCAAAAATGAAAGTGGCCGCATTCGTGTTCATCCTCGACCTTTATATATGATATGTATTATCATCAAATAAAACTTACATTTAAATATTAAGAATGAACACGAATGCGGCCACTTCCATTTAAGACGAAAACCGTCTAAAAATTAACTCAAATGCTAAAATTGTGAAGATTTCAGTAATTTAGCATGACTTAATGATGCTAGTACCCGATACATGTGCATTGTATTGTCAAAAACAGCCCATATTTATGTAACAGAAGTATTCTTCTTTCCAATAAATAGCTAAAAGTTTACATTTTAACAATTTTGTAAAACTGCTATATTTTGGGGCCAAAAAGGGGTCTTACTGGACCTACTCCTTTCAATTCGAGGCAATTGAAAGTTTTCTGCAGAATTTTGATATCTGACATTCTGATTGATCCAATATCCTATAAATTTTGCCATTTTTTTTAATCAAAAACGAGCTGGAATGATTTTCCTTTCTTTTTAATGGTCAAGATTCTGCTTCTTGTTTGAATAGCGTTTGTTTCCTAAAGTGTTCTGGATTAAGACTAATATATTGCGGCCATATTTTGATGGTTCTACCAATATAAAACATATTTGTGAGTATCTCTACTTGATTTTAACAAATTCTGAATGTAAAGTTTGGAAAATGACAAACTATACTAAAATTGTTTGTGTCTCGGATTTCATGATATTAAGTAAATTAAGAAACATTCCGACGCCAAACAACGAAGTAAAGACGTCAAATAACTATACATGTCATTAATGACCAGTTGGCGCTGATCTTAGAATCCCTTAACAGAGTTTAGAGTAAAACTATTACCTGAAATTCACAAAAAGTTATTGTGTGACATATAAGTGGCTAAAACCGATACGTCATGGCGCTGTTATACAAACGTTTAGATCGTTCGAAAACCGTTTACCACTTAAAGAACGTGCCTATTTTAAAATATCGACAGTATCCTTGGCTTTGAAATATTCGGCTTTGAGCGTTCCAGATGAAGGTTACTCCAGAAAAGCGTTTCGGACGCATGCAATTTATAAAGTGTTGTTTTCATTTTTATTAGGTATAAATTTGTCATTGATATCTTCAGTGATCTCTTTGGGGATGGGATAGGGAAACAACGAATTTAGTTTAGGAAATTTGCTTTGTTATTAAAAGTATATATGTGAGACGAAATTTCTAGCTGTGAAATACATATGATTCTGTTAAAGCCTTTAGACTTGTATTTGATAATGTTAAAAATCTCTTAATCGGTCTTGTCATAGTTATACAAAAGAGAGGTATACAAATGCAGACATTTAATCAGTATGCTGGTCTTCTAAATTGATTATAAGTTGCAGAATTTGATTGAAGTCATTTAATACAAGCATCATGATTTTTCCAGGTGGTTTTAAATGTGCTACTCCTTGCAGATTTATTTGATTATTTGTTTTGTTTGTTTGTTTGTTTGTTTGTTTGTTTTTCTATTGTTAAGAACCAGAGTTCATTAAATATCTATTAATTTACTTCGTGAGTGTCTTTATATAGAAAAAAAAAATCCGTATTTCTAAGATAGTTGTTGTATACATATTAAAAGCCTTCTCCTGAATAAATCACTGTCGTACATCAAAGTTCTGCGCCCTTATCCCTCAAGTCCGCTACAGTCCATCTGCCATTACTATCAGTTTTTAATAACTTTTTTTACCGTTCTGTTTGTGTCGGGGTAGTGCCTCGCCACGAGTGCGGATGTTCGAATGTTTCGGTCCCCTACCGTGTCAAACTAAATACTTGAAAAAAGATGTTTACTGCTTCTGCGCCCTGCAAGCGGCATTTATGAGTAAGAGCAGAAACTTGTCGACTACGAGTCAGTTTATGGGTCAGAGTAGGTTGACATGTCTTCATGGGGACTGTTATCGTGTACACTAACCTGTTCAAAATTCGACTCAGCGTGTCGGTCTAGTTCAAAATATTTGCCATTGGACGTTAACCGTCTCAATTTTCTAGCTTTGTAAGTTGCTAATCGATAATACTTCAGAATAGCATGGACAGGAGTTTCATACATTCAAGTCATAGATAATTTTCTTGTCGGCGCATCTGATCTTACTTTGTTTAAGAAATATTTTGTTCATGTCATGTTCTATGCTCATTTTTAACATGGGTAGGCATTACATGAGTCAACATTAAACATCTAGATAACGCTTGGTGTAAAGATATTAACAAATATTATTTTTTATTTTGATTTTAATAGGAAAATTAAGAACATTTGTACTTCGAAACGGACATGTAAGACACGATAGAAAAGCAGTCGTTTTGATTTGACGAAGCAAAACAGTTATAAAAAGGCAACCGTTCCGTGATTAAAAAGTGTATGATGTAGACCTACTTTTAAGAATGATTTTATAATTTTCTTAGCGGGCATCACCAGCAGAAATTTCAGTCTCATTTTTACATCGGATGATTGTGAGGAAGAATATCTCAAGAACGTTTTGTAACTAACGCAGGAAAATATGAATGCCTACTCAAATCTATTAGAAAAACGAATTATTACAGAAGAGTGTCCAACATGCACTTGCACTGCACTATCATTAGAATAGTAGAAAAGAATGATATACAAATGGGTGAAAATTATATATGACTGCTATGCAAATATGAATATAATACTAGTATATAACAACAAACCAGAGTATACTGATAACAAATAATTATATCACTACAATATAATAGTTATAACGGTGAGGTTGAATTCCCTGTCATTTATTCGTCATTCACACACGAACTTGTCTCAGAAAAAATATATCTATGTACCTTCACCTAAATTTCAGGTATAGAGATGTTATTTTTTTCTGAGACAAGTGCTTGTGACCATCCACCAGAACTTGCGGTCATCCGATGTTCAGTACTTCAGTACTTTGATTATCTGCGTTGTCGTTCAAAATATTATAATAACTGATGTTGGAATGTTTTGATCCGTCCGTTATTCCGTGCGTAATCTCTTGCATGTTGTTGCTTTGTGTTAGCGCCTTCAATTTTTGTAGTATCCTCTTTAAATGTGGATTATTAAAGCCATGAATGCATTCTTTAATAAAAAAAAAATCTTAAATGGGGAGGCGGAAGGGGTATTTTTTCGGAAGGAGGAAATAAAAATATCACATAATATTTCAAGTTGCTGACAAATGTACGGTTGGTCGTTATCAACACATTATTTGTAAATATAATATATCTCGTAATAATCTAATTGTTACACGTCTTCTGATTGGCTGAAAGTGTTTTGTCTATCAGCTCTTATCGCACCGCGGGTAAATTATGACGTTGTGATTGGTTTAACGCCGTCAAGAGGTGACCCCCTATGGATCCGTATTTACGTTGATATTGTAATATATATATATTGTTTGACATCCAGTGTGTTAAGAAGAAAAATCTGAAGATCTTTTAGTCTACGAAGATCTTCGTCAGTTTCAGGTCGTGTATAAATTAAATACCATCTCGATAATGTTGACAAACTGAAATCAGGCTGTTGGTTTTTTTGTATGAATTGTTTCACATGTTTCATGTCGGAACCGGGCCTTTATAAATTACTATACGATATGGTTTGCTCATAGTTGAAGGCCGTATGGTGGCCTATAATTACTAAAATCCATGCCATTTGGTCTCAGGCGGATAGTTGACTGATTGGTAACAACGACACTTCTCCTTATGTTTATAGCTTCACATTTCTACCTCAGTACCTACATTTGATTAAATGTAATGCAAAACAAATTAAAAAAAAATCGCGATTGAAAACTTTTATCATTTATTATGATTCAATTTCAGTTTTACTGTGGAATTTCAATGACCGAAATGTAGATTGGATCAATCAACTTCTCAGTAGAATTGACAGAAATAGAACTGATCCTTGTCGTTACCATGGAAAGGAATGGAAAGCAGCTATTGATGCTCACCCAGGATTCATGTTTGTGGAACAAAAAATAACACAAGGACAGATTTTCAAGGTATCAAAAACATAATTTCAACACTAATCTAAAGACTAAACATAGAATTTGTAAAGACAAAATAAACAAAAACAAAGTATTTGGTCTTTGCTTTCTACGATTAAGCTCGATACAGAAATTGTAAAAGGAAGTGTAGACCAAAAGCTACCGAAAACCAAAGGTAAAACAATGTGTATTTGAAAAGTAAACAATTTCTGTTTGACATGACTCATCCGTTGATTTATTTTGGGTAAAAACCCTGTAAGAAGTGAACAATGCAAATTGGAAGAACTCATATTTTTCTCTCTTCGAATGGGGAGTAATAATTTATCTATTTTTTTTCAGCTATCCGGCCAAATGTCCATATGGTAGATAATTTAAAACCTTGTCAACATGATTCCTTTTTATATCAAATCAGGAAATGTGGTCTAATTGCCAATGAGACTATCCATGGGTCCAAATGATGTAGATTTAAGCAACTATAATTCATCGTACAAAAGTTGTTGTTGCAGTTGTAACACAGTATTGTGCGTTATCATATGCAAACCTACCACAAGGTTTTGAATTCTAAATTTTAAGCGAACAGTTAAATAAAAAAGAAATGTCTTAACGGTCCAATCAAGTGTTAATCAATTATTGACAGACGGATGGAAGCGTGAACATATTTTTTTTTTATCCATTTCGACTTATATTGTAGCCAAAATTGAGAAATTTACCTTCCGACGTCGTGAATGGCGTCTTAACCAATCATAACATCCAAAATAGTATCACTTTCATCATGGTATTTGCAGCTCGTCCGTCTAGGAGTAGTAAATGCCGTTTTTGTTTGGAGTCAGAATAATGTGTTCGATTTAGGGGAAAGGGCCTCGGTGGACGCGTGGTCTAAGTAGTCTAACTATTGTATCACTTGCCTGTCAACACTGAGGTTGTGAGTTCGAACACCGCACGTGGAAGGTGCGCTCGACTCTAATCTACATTGACTAGGATTGCCAGTTTTCATGTCGAAGGTCTGTGGTTCTCTTCGGACACTTCGGCTTCCTCTTCCAATAAAAACGGACCGCCACGAAATAGCCAATCGTGCTTAAAGTGGCGTTAGAAACCAATCAATCATACAATCAATCGATTTGGGGGACAAATCCAGCTCAGCATGTCGATTTAGTACAAAGAATGGTCTATAATTATATCAGTTGTATATCGTGCTGATGAGCATGTAATATTTGCAAATAGATGTTAAACACCGAGTCATTGGAATCGCAACTATTTTGTACATATAATCAGGTAAAAACAATTTGAGTAATAATGGTGACTTAGATTTTGTTACGCACTTTGTTTTTTTGCATCCATTTACCATTTTGTTTTTATTTGTCAATTTAGGGCGATGTGGAATTTATGCTTCGACACTGCTCAACGCATAGTGGATTACAAAAACTTGAGGAGAAAGAAAAAGAAAAGGAATTAGATGAAATCCGTCAAATTTTAACAACACATCCTGAAACGAAAGGGAAAGACACCATAGAATTTCCGTTTTTTACAGATATATATTTATATAGAAAAGTTGTCAAGAATTAACCAGAGACTTAAACCTTGGGCTGATATCGGAGTCTCGAGATGATACAAAAGCCGATAGTGAAAATTACATGTTTTAATCTATAAATATATTATTTTTGCTTAAAGTTTTTCATCACTGTTCTTCATTGAAGCGAACCGTTACGACTTCCTAGTATGGACAGTCATATGCTACAAATTATTTTTCATCGCTCTCGAAGCATAAATCTGAAGTTGATTTTGGGAATTGACTTATTCTACTTTCGTACACTAATTCAAGACTGGTTTATTGTTCCTTTAACGGGAAGAACAATCTTAAAATCGATCCATTATTTCTAGTTAAACTTAAATATACTTGTAATGCGCCCATAGATTGAAAGAAAGATATAACATAGTACCAAAAACTGTCTTATTTCATCAAATATGTATTGTAATAAGGTTTTGTGAGATATATACAAGAAATGTTCTAGTTTTTTTATTTGTTTAATGAAACAGATAAAAGTAATACATATCTGATAAATAAATACAATATAAACTAGAACTGTGAATGAAACTTAAAAAATTATACCCCTGCCCCGCAAAGCTGTGAGCATATCAAAGAAAGTAAAAAAAAGGTCATCAAAGATACCAAGCTTATAATTTTGTATGCTTCAACTACAAAAGACCAATCAGTTGCGCTCAAACAAAAAAAGGGATTGAAAGTACGAAGTTAGAGAACATTCATGGCCCAAAATCCGAAAGGTTTTGCCAAATACAGCTAAGGTTATGTATTTTTTAGGTAAAAAATCCTTAGTATTTTGAACAATTCAAAGTTTTGTAAACAGTTAATTTGTAAAATCTGATAATATCATTGATAATTCATGTCAACAAAGAACTGCCGACTATTGGGTTGCTGACAAATGCGATTATTTTCTCCTCTTGGACCGGGATTATATTCCTTGATGCACATCATAAGGAATTATTTTTCAACTGTATAAAGTTACTTTAATATCTGTATAGCCGTTCACTTCACAGACCATACGGACAATCAAACATACAGACGGACGGACGGACACGAAGATCACTATACATTCCCAAAACTTTGTTAGCGGGAGAATGATACGTTATTATATCAGACATTCGACGATACATCTAGCGGTTTAACATTAACTATAGTATTGATCTCTACAGATTTCTCTAAATGACCCTGAGGATCAGTTATATCTATAATGGATGTACGTCTAAACCTTTGTTTCACATCAACATCCGCCAAAAAATTGCTGATGTCAGGCGAAAAAGTACTCTTTCCGTAAGATTGTGGCTTTGGAGTATACTCAGGTTCACTGTCTTTCAAAATCTGTGATAATTTCTTTTGTTTCTTTTTCTTTTTCTTTTTCTTTTGTTTGATAGCCTTATCAGCAACAATTCCCGACCCCTCGTATTGTTCTTTGGGAATTTGTGTATTAGCCAATACAGATTTTGTCTTCTTACTTTTATTTTTTTCTTTCTTTGATTCCTTTTCATTGAAGGTTCGTTGACGTCCTTCATTTAGGCGGTGCATTAATGGCGGAAGCTGTAGTGGTTTAGTTCTGTTGTCAATGTTAAAATTCTCCTCAAATATAGTATGGTATGAGGGAATGACTTCTCCATTGGTTTCTGCAGAAATCTACAAAAATAATAATTTGTTGAACGAATTTAAAACCGAAGACTAGGTTGAGTCATAAATTTTTATATAAAATTGTGCTTTGATAATTCGATCTTCCGGTTTAATAGTACATTCATCAGAAATGGGAGTCATTCAAGGGCTCTGATAAAATATTAAATAAATCACTGATTCTTTATTATCCATTCAATCCATCTTTAACTTGCAAAAACTATAATTCAGATAGATAGATAGCTAAAAGAGAGGCGAAAGATACCAAAGGGACATTCAAACTCACAAGTAGAAAATAAACCGACAAAATCATGGCAAAAAAAAAAGAAAAAGAAAAAAAAACAGAGTTAATAATAGTATACAAAACAAAACATAGAAAACTAAAGACGGAGCAATACGAACCTCACCAAAAACCGGGGGTAATCTCAGGTGCTCTAAATTTCTCATGATATAAGTATAAAAAAGACTATAATGAGATTATACGGTATGGTTTTTTTTCTCATTGTTGAAGGCCGTACTGTTGCCAATAATTACTTACATCCACTTCATTTTAACTTTGGTGGATAGTTGTCTCATTGGCAATTATACCACATCTCCTTATTTTTATATTTTACATGTTTTACCATTTTGTCATACTGGGACCTATTATAGCCTACCACACGTTTTTGCTCCATGTTGAAGGTCATTATGTAACCTACAGTTGTTTACATCCTCGTCCTTTTGTCTATGATGAGGTATTTGTCTTATAAGTAACCATGTCACATCTTGTTTTTATATGTTTGTAAAAACAATTAAGGGAGCTGCCATTTGATTTTTATGGGGGGCTAGGATGAAAAATTTTGTCCTGCATTATTTTTTAGTTGTAATCTCTGTCCTGCCTTTTTATTTTTCACTCTATTCGGTCCTGCCTTTTTTTTTTAGTTTATCCTGACTTTTTTTAACATAAATTGTCATCCTGCCTTTTTTTTTGCAAAATGTCTCATCTTGCCTTTTTTTTACTCAAAACTCCTGTCCTGCCTATTTTTTTCAAATTTCATCCTAGCCCCCCTCCCCCCCTCCCCCCCCCCCCCCCCCTATTTGTAAATGTGTTAGCCAAAAACAATTCGTTTCATACTAAATATTTCGCACAGTGAACGTTTCTATAATAAAAAACATGTTCTCATATATAATTACTTTCTAGTGAAAAAAATGAGAATCTATGGGAAACGTTTGAAATCAAACTTTTAGCTAGTTTTGTTTGTAAAAGTTGTCACGGAGACCACGTGTGGTATGTTTTATTCCGAAATAAACTGTCGTTTTGAAACTCAAAATGAATGATGTCTGTCAGTCAAACGATTAAAAACATGAGAAACATCTATTTGTACGTTTTGTAACCGTGTTTTGTCTGTTTTGTAAATATATTGCGTAATGTGTCATTGTTCGTTTTTTTTCCCAGAACCTTGTTTTCACTTACCTTCTTTTTACAACACTTTTCTTTAATTTTATCTCTATGAAGAAAGAACATCATTATCAAGGCACATATCACAATTAATACAATAGAAACTCCAATGATCGTAGCTGAAAGCAGAAAAAAATAAATACATACATTAAAAATTGATAAAGTGGCAAATGTATTTTTACTGTTAAAGCAGTCCTGACTTCAAGAGTTTGACGAGTACAATGTGAAACAAACGAGTTCACTCACCTTCTTTTAGCGGGGATCCTGTAATTGAATCAGTAATTTTCAAATTATTATTATGTTGTTTGTTTTTGTTGTTGATATAACGAATATTTAACAACAGTTAATAGTTAATACTTTCGTTTGATTTATTGATTGTTCTTTTAATTTGTTTTTTTAACGCCACTATTGACTATTTCGTGGTGGACGGTTTTTATTGTTGGAGGAAGCCGGAGTGCCCATAGAGAACCGCCGACCTACGGAAGGAAAGTGGCAAGATTATAGTCGAAATTACCTGCCACGTGCGGGGTTCAAACTCATAACCTCAGTGTTGACATGCAAGTGATACAGAAGTTGAACTACTTAAAGGGAAAACGGTAGTATCTATTCTGCCATAGGCGACAATACTAAAATTTCTTAATTTACCACTTTTTATAATAAAAACCTTTATTATTCTGTTTTAGAAATTGAAATCAAATACTATTATGACCATCTTCGAACGGAGCTTGTTTATTGTATCCATGCTCACCGTCATTTTACATCAAATTTATGAAAATTTGGAAGTCTTCAAGAAAATATTTCAATGGATTTCAAAATTTATATTGTAAATATACACACTGCAGTTATTCATAGATAAATAATAAAATATATTGTCCCCTTACATCCAATCACAGCGCTTCTAAGTTGACTTGCTTCACCTATCCTTGGGTCACAAAAGGCCAACTTAAAGCCTGGAAAATGTAATACTACATTTTTCCCTATATCACTCGCCTATAGAGCCCTCCTACTTTGGTATGAAGATAACGGTTATCTAATCCGGAAAAAGAGGACATTAACAAATCAGATATGAGAAATCAAATTAAAATGGCTAGCGAGAAAGACTAGTACTAATTTCAAAGCCATTTGAAATCAAGACATGTTACTAGGTAGTTAAATCAACAGCTTTCGGAACACTTTCCCAATACATCTTTAATTCACATCTGGTTTTTGGGGATTTTTTTATGATTAACTCTTAATTTTCTTCAGAAAAATAAGACAGAATAAATCTAATTTTTGCCTAAATGGATAAACATACAATTAATGACGTAAGTTTCGTTGATCTAAAAGAAACACTGCCTTGAAAGAGTCATCTAAAACCATTACTTCTTTTAATGTGTGACATATGAACATGTGATGAAATAATTTTTGTCCTAAATATTTGAATTCTTAAGTTATTTTGACAAGAAAATAGAATATCTAACAACGCCTCAAACTAAGGATTTATTTTAATGGACATGAAATCTATCAGGGTATAACCAGAGTTCCAGTGGAGTATAAGTGTTACAGTTTTTTGTGTCTTTTCTGTATTTTCTTTTTATAATCTTTTCAAGTTTGTCTTTTAACTTGTCGATATATCATTATTTTTGTTTCGTCGTAGCACTTTTATTTTTAGGATATAATACATAGGTAGAATGTAAGTCATTCAAATAGGTTATAAGCACGATCTATGTAAAAAAATCTAGTACCAAGAATTTTACTAATACTATTGTTATTTAATCAAAATCTAAATAAGGGGGAAAGTTGATATCTGAAAAAAACTAGTTTTACCCCTTCAAATGCACGTTCCGGTCCTTTGTCAGAAACATCGTCAGTGGAAGAATTTTGTTTTATCTCTATTTATTTATTTTTTGGTATTTTGGAGAATTTGTAGTTGATATAGTCCCGTTTTAAAATATGTTTAAGGATCGGTTCAATTTATAACGACATATTGTATAGTCATTTCTCTATTGTTGCAGACTATCATGTTGTCCTATGGATCTAATTTAGTAATCATGTCGTTGGGTTTCTGTTTCATTGACGAATACTCCACATCTCTTTTATTTATGTTCTTTGTGCATTTTTACCATGATTACTTACACTTGTCACTTTTTACCATAATTACTTACACACTTGCTACTTTTTACCATGATTACTTACATTTGACACTTTTTACCTTGATTACTTACACTTGGTACTAGTTGGTGACGATTCCTCCTTGTCAGTATCTGTTACATTAGTTCGTGTCGTCTGCTCAGGTAGACCAGAAAGTGTCGTTTGTAAACTCTCACTGACTGAGGATAATGTCGTGAAAGTTATATTAGCACTCATATCTTTTTCTGTTGATGTCCACCCAAGAGAAACAAAGACTGGTTGCGTTATTGAAGTATTAGTCGTTGTTTTTGAGGTGGTTGGCTGTGAATTAGTATCGTCTGTTAAATTCGATATCATTGCCAAAGTTCCCTTTGCTGTCATGCCACTTGGTGTTGTGTTTTCATTAGTCGTTGCTGTATTCGATTTTGTAACTGTTTCTTCGGTCCCTTTTGTTCCACTGGTAGTTGTCATGGTGATTTCACTTGCCATGGAAACTGTTATCTCTGTGCCTGTACCAGCAGTAATTGTTTTCCCGCCAGTGGTAGACACAACAGTGATGACGTCAGGTGTTGAAGAGTCTGTGCGAACAACAGAAGTAGTTGTCGTTGACTCGACAGTGGTACTTTTAACTGATGAAGTAGGAGCAGCTGAACTAATGTTATCGTCTGTAGTAGTGTCTGGCGGCGTTGTTATACTCTCAGTTGTGAGATCAGTACTTGGACAAACTGGTAAACTAGTGGAAGGTACAACAGGTGTAGATTGCGCTGTACTGGCACACGATAATGTTAGTTCTGCGCCAGGAGAAGTTCCTGTTAAAGAAAAATTTAAGAGTTCAAATTAAACACGGGAAAATCACGTCAAATAGTTTCCTTATGTACTAAACATTGCCATTATAACAGAGGTTATTCATGTAACGAGCACGTTAATTGTATAACAGACTAGGGTCATGTAAGTCAAAGATCCACAACCAACATCATGGTCAAAAGAAAAATAAAAAAAAAAATACAAAAACTACAAAAAAGAGGCGGAAGATACCAAGATGACATTAAAAAATCAAATCATATTTGACAACTTGAGAGATATTGATTAACGATTCCATAAGAAAAACGCTTTTTAACTTGATGATGTATTATAATTATTATTATTTGAATATCAAGTCAAATATTTTAAAAAGAGCAAGTGGTATTGTGTGTAAAACAAATGCCTAAATCTCAAGCAAATATGGTATCAATCGTATTCAATAGATCGATGAAAATATAATTTCCAAATGTATAAAGAGAAAAGAAACATATCGTAAATAGTTTACAAATAAATATTACAATCCATTCTTTATAAAACTACGATTCCGAGCATTGTTGATGTTTCTTCAAAACAATACAACTTAAAAGTCAGGTTAAAATCGTAGTTTGTGGCATAAAACTATTAAAAAGAAGGAAAAAAGCTAATCATATATGGAAAATTCACAATTAGAATATAGCAAACTTAATTATTTGTTTTGGTTGGATTAAGGTTTGATTAAGTTTCCAGTGGTCTTTTTAGAGTAATTAAGAACAAATCAAAATAAACATTTCTAATGAACTATAAAATGGGAACTGTAATCCAATTTGTTTTTTTGTGGATACTTTTTTTTCGCTTTTACATGCTTCCATTTCTATCGGATTATGTTTGTAATTTACTTTTTGTATAGTCATATAAGAGAAGATCCAAGTTTGACAGATGCGCGACGATTAATAATCATTAGCATTATATGTTTACATGCATGAGTCATGTAAATAAATCTCTCAAATTAGAGTATACTTGCAAAAATACCTTCTAGTAAAATAAAATAATATCCATCTGCTGATCCTAAGTTATTAGTGATCTGTATCTGTATGAAATGAGAGGTACTGACATAGAGTGTTGTAGGTAGGTAATCGTTGTTATCATTACAGTCAAACGCCATTACTGTATCTCCATCAGTTATTGTTATACTTTGATTACAAACTGTACTGGAACCAAGTCTAAGGTCTAGTGCGGTTAACCTTACAGTAGAGTCACATGACGCCTCAATTGAGCATGTGCAGGCTGTAGATCCTGTTAGAGGGGATGAGGGGTATCCCGGGTTCCATAGAAAAACTCGGCTGTCTTTTGTGTTTAAACTTGAACAAGGGTCTAAACCTTGATCTGAAAAAGCAAAATAATGCCAAGTTATCAAGAACATGTTAGATCTGGTGAAATGACAATACATATTTGTTTTTTTAGTAAGACAGATCTTTGATGACCTCTGTTTATTTATTCATTCGTTTCTAAACTCAGGGCAACAATACACATATTCATTTTGGGAAATAGAAAGTGCATGTCTGATCTTTAAAAGTGCTTTTTATTTCATGTATTTCTGTTGTGGTTCTTAGGCGATTAAAAACTTGATATATTGTATAGACACTTGTCTATTGAAGTAGCTTCTAGAAGTTTTTATGTTGCGTGGGTGCTATCTCATCCATGTATACCCAAAATCTTCTTTAAACATATACAATGATTATAAAAAAATAAGTATTTTAAAGATAAGTGTCAGATATTTAGGCGTCTTTATTTAATATAATCAAAATTTGTACAGCTTACATATAAAGCTTGCCATAGATGTGAGTGTGGTCGATAGTATAAGACTAAACGATACCAAGAAGCCAAAATGACTGTCTCATAAACATATCTTGCTTAAAATGGAATTCCGTGTTCTTCTATATTGTCAACTTACAGAAAGTTAGTATCATATTGTTTTAAAATCGTGTAATTGGTGAATACTTGAATAATACAACAATATTCATTTTCAGTCTGCTTTTACATGTCAGTATGCTGAGTATGGACACATATTATATTATTCATGTCGTATAATGATTACACCTCTTCTTGCATATGGCACAGTTACATTCGTACAATAAAATCAAAAGACATTTACATGTGTAGATCAATCTTTTTGTCACTTACTTGAAATACAATAATAATCCATTTTCATGTAATTGGTTCTGGCTAGATAAATAGTCTGATTACAAGTTGCCTCTACCCATGACACTTGTATGGTACACCCAACGTTCCCATTACACTGTTGATAATAGCCCCTATATGTGGATCCTACGTAGCGTATAGAACAGTCTATCGGGTTATATTGACAGCATGTTTCTGGTACAGTATTCGGTGTTGTAACCTGTATTGGACATGATGTACTCAGTTCCTTTGCCAAAGCAGTGAGACCAACGACTGCCATTTTCTCTCCAGTCGAACATGATGGTTGAAGGTAGTTTTCAAATAATATGCCATAACATGCAGAGTAGGATTTTAGTTCTAACGTTGAAATTTCTAAATATAAAAAAGAAAATCTTTAAAGAATTCATTCTTTGTCTTCATTGAATGAAAAACAACTTTAAGTATGCTCTTTCTCATTTAAACGCAACTTTTGTGATCAATAAGAAACTTGGGTTTGCTTTACTTGCAACTATTTAGGGATTAAAGCATATGGTAAATTGATACATCTCAACAATTCAATTAATTGCAAACAGCATTGAATAAAAATATTTGTACAATGTATAATAGCTTTTTTACCGACATAAGTGGTTCCTAACTGTTAACTATGCACAAAGTATTCATAAATGCAATTGTATGTTCATTTAGTTTTGTTAAAAGTATTGAGTTTAAAAATATCCCCGTTAGTTTATTAGTCGATAAATGGTAAATTTAAATGAGTTTCTGTTATTTGTTTTTTTTTTTAATGCGCTCGATAGAACATCTGTCAATCAAATACTAACAATAGACAATTCTACAAATCGTATCGTCAGTACGAGTAAACAGGATTTTTTAAAAACTTAACTTGATTAAATTTTACTTAATTTGATATTAAAACAGTGCCGGTGTAAACGTATCGAATTGAAGGTATCCTGATCACGTGTCTGAATTTACCTCGTCAGGATCCAAGGATTTAGTTTAAAAATTTGACTCAGGAGAACTTTTCCGGAAGCCAATATTTTCTTTAACCGGACAGTTTTCTTTCGTTATATAAGAACTTCTTCAACAGGAAAACGATCGCACCAATGTCAGTGATTTCAAGCTCTCTTTACTGTTTGTAAACAATACGTGCTTGCTTTAAATCGATTATATAAGACTCTTAATCAAGGCCATTAATCAATCCTGAATTTTCGGACAATACTATGTGACCTTTATACTGTTATTCCGAACTGTCTTGTGGTTAATAATAATTTTTAACATCCTGAGACTATCGACAAAAAAAGATACCCGCATGCGCAACTTTATAAGTAATAATGACAAACAAACTAGAATAACACTTTATAAATTTGTTGCGTCCGAAGGAACACTCACACCCACAAAATTGAAGCTAATGATGTATAGCTACCTAAACACGTGAGGAACCGTATCATCAAAAGTGGCTAAAAGGAATAACCAAATTGATCAAAGGTCAGCTTTGTCTGAAGGAATGGGATAACTTATCAACATGTTTGTATATCGGTTTTCGTTGGACTATATTGTAGTAAAATGCCCCACTGTCTTTAGAAGGCTGCAAAATTGTCTTGGTATTTCTCTACTGCTGAACCTACCAACGAATCATATAAACATATACAACTGGGATGATGAAGTTGAATCAAACTAAAGATAAATTGCAAAAATTCCTGGAGTACTCCCGATTGTATTATGTAAAAATATTTGGCAACCATATATTGTGAAACCAAGAGATTAAAACATATTTCTCTGAATAACTGAGAACATAGAATTAAATCTATTTTTGGAGTATTTCCTTGAAAGAATCAAATATGGTTTCCAGGTTTCCAATTATTTTATTGAAAAGTCATTTTGATACATCATCTGGACTCTTTTACTTTAAAATTTCACAAGGTTTCGTCAATCTTTAGTGCTAAATCCGTGAAATGCAGTACATTTCATATCGTTCGAAATGAATACTTAAAATTACAAATGATTAAATGTCTATACATATCTGTATAGAGGATAGGGACCTATTGCAACAGTAATTTTCCGAACCATATTAAGCAGAAGTCGTCATACTTCTTTTATTCACTCTATATCCGGATACGCGCTCTTCAAAATAATTCCAAATTGAGTCACTGGTCTTCTTGCATAGAGGTAACTTTCCATTAGACTTCTACTCGAAAAAACTTTATTATGTAAATTTGAATATCATTTCTTTGGACGATTCATAACGATTACTTTCCAGACGTTGAATATACATCAATGAACTTTCTGTCTATTCAAAGTCCTTACATACCTTTCAACAAAAGAAAAAGACATCCACAAACTACCACACAGAGTTTAGACATTTCCGTCAACCATTATATTATACACAAACATTTAAACAGGATATACATGTATATGCATTTTAACAAAGCACCAGAATTGAGATGTGTTATTGAAAATATTTTACATAGAATAATGCCCTATCTAAAGGGTCAGACGACCCAAAAATGACGGTTGGATACAATTGTTTCAATTTAAAATTTAAATGTAATCGTGATATTATCGGGTGTATTCTTAAACACCAGATTAGTTAAATGACTCCTTCCTTTATCAATATTTCAATCAAAATTTAAACACCTAATTTGAATAATGTTATAGTATAGCCCAGCGGTTTTTTGAACTTTCAAAAATAACTTAATAAATCTATTAAGGTGGTACCAAACACCTTGACTAAAACTAATTTGGCTTAGTCGTTTAATTTTCATAAAATTTTGACAAAATATTTACTTTGACCCTTTGACAAAATATAAAAATTTCCAAAAACTTGAACCACACACTTTATCGGAAAAATTCCATTGGATATATAACAGTTTGACAAACACTAATTTTGATCATTGAGAAGCTGAATATTTCCTTAACAATAGATCATGATTAAAACGTTCAGCTGCTTTTTACAGAGTTATCTCCCTGTAGTGTTATGTACCACCTTAAAATGATGATATGAAAATATTAAACTATTCAATAGAATAAGATACATTTCACCGAAAAATTAGATTCAAACTGACCACGTACTGTGAAATCTTATTCGAATTTTTTCTTGTGAATCGTTACGGATCAGTTGAATAAACGGTGAACAGCAAATTTTCACATAATAGTTTCATTACAGGAACTTCTTAAGAAACATCGAATAACTTAATAGTAGTACGGTCAATTTTGATTTTAAAGACACTGGTTACTTAATGATCTAACCAGAGATCGTCAAGAACCGTATACGTGGAACGGTTTTCATCCAATAATGTACACACAGTACCGTAACGTCTTGATATTATCATGTGCACTAAACTTTTGAAAATCGCACTAAGAACCAGAAAGAGCAATCAATCAGGTCAAGAGATATTTCAGTATGAAAAAGTTTATTTTTTTAAAGTCATTGGTTCCAATGTAGGTGTTAATATATTAAGAAATAAAAAAAAAAAAGATACGAACTTTTTACACTGCAGCGCTGTTTTCTGTGTAATGCTTCCAGTTATCACAGTAATGATTAGTCCCAATCAAACGTAATGAACTACTGAACATTTTACTATAAAGGATATGACTGAAAGGGTATTGTGCACAAAGAACACTCATTAAGAATACATGTACATTTATGAATGAAGTAATTCGAAGACTTCAAATTGAAATGCATTACCTTGGTGTGAAATTGGTCAAAGCGACATTGACCTTACCCCTTTAAGTTTTGCAGAACAGTATTCGTTTGATGTGTTTGATGTGTTTGAGCTTTTGATTTTGCAATAAGTTAAGGGACTTCCCGTTTTGAATTTTCCTTGGAGTTCGGTATTTTTGTTATTTTATTTTTTCCACATTGATGATTTGTCCGTGCTTTCATCTATATACTCATGCATGGTAATGTAATAAAATTTAATATTTGTCATTCATTCTTACCGTATATTAAAGATTGATAAACTATAAAGATAGAATCGTTTTCTATGTAAGCACATTTGCATTCTCTACCTTGATTATTTATGAAAACGTAAAAAGACGATATGACACAGTCTGGCCTATTCTAAAAAGGAATTGGCTGGCTAAAAATGTCATCAGAGATACCTAGCTTATCATTTTGTACGTCAAACATTGCGTTTCGATATCGCTTATTATTTTCCCCATAATTTCTCGATGTTGCCCTCTAAGGCAATATCCTTCCTCATAAATCAGTTCAGTCGAAAGTACCTTCAAACTGTTGGGATCAGTTTGTACCTACCATCAGTTATCTATGTACCAAACAAATTGCGACTTAAGTTTTCAATTATAAACGCCCATATACAAATTAATTGCATATCAGGACGGAAACATGTTAATGCGATATGAGTATTAGCACTGCTTTGTACAAGACCGACATGCTAAGCCGGTTTTTAAACGTGGTGGTTAACAAGGTTACAGATCACTGGAAGGTTTTATCCGAACCAACGACCTCCCGCACTCGAGGCGATTATGATACCACGCTATCGCCGATGTGGTTCACTTACCAAATAGAAAATATTGAAAAATCTTAGATCTGTTTTATGTTCCTTTTGAATTTCAACCAAACATGTTGAACTGGATCTGCCTTCACTTTATTTGATACCAAAATTACAACAAAAACTACAAACAACATTATATTGGTGAGTCTTCCAAGTTCTTTCTATTAACATCAGCTTTAGAGTTCTATCTTGTAAATTTACATACTCTGGAGGCGGTGTGGATATGTGGATACTTACAAAATTAAAAGATTTGTCATACTACAAACAATCTAAGTCTCTTTCCTTTTGCAAAAAAGGGACGAGATACCAGAGGGACAGTCAAACTCATAGATCGGAAACAAATTGACAACGCCATGGCCAAAAAAAAAAAGACAAACAGACAAATAATAGTACAGATGACACAACATAGAAAACTAAAGACTAAGCAACACGAACCCCACCAAAAAATGGGGGTGATCTCAGGTGCTCCGGAAGGGAAGCAGATTCTGCTCCACATGTGGCACCCGTCGTGTTGCTTATGTTGTTACAAATCCGGTAAATAGTCTAATTCGGTAGGTCACATTAGTGCAATAGTATAAATCATTTTACATGTCTGCTATTTACACAGGTATTCCCCAAAACTTGAAAGAGAAATTGAAATTGTTCTCACATTTTTCATTCGAAATATTGGCCAACGTAGGTACAAATATCTTTTTTTAGGGAGGGACAAATCAAACTTAATTTTCTATGATTCAAGGCTGTCATTATCAAGATACTTATTTGTATAGTTTATATGATGTTTTATCAACTAGCACTATGCATTTCCTTGAAAACGGTTCGTCTCTTCATGTCGACTTGTTCCTTTATTCATATGCTGCAGGCTTCAATAAGGAGGTTTTTAGGAAAAAAAAAAGAAGCTAGCATTATCTTTTAACTTTATGTTCGCCCAATAAATGATGTCCACTGACTAGTTATTCAAAGTGTGTCGCTTATGTTGACGCATGTATCTTATTGAATTCGAAATAAATGATAAATAAGATATAGTTAAGTCTGCTTCCAATCTTGGCTTACATCTAAAAATGGACATAAGGGTCGGTTTTGCAAAAGAGATGATTTCACAATTGTGAACTGGTCCTGCGTATTGAGTATATATCTCTGATTGATTCTTAAAAGAAAGCTAATAAATCAAGTGTTCCAAGTGGTGAAGTTGAAGTTAGATATCGAAAACATTTCGGATGCCATCACGAATTCGTTGAAAGTTATCACAGAATGTGTCACAGATAACGACAAATATCACGAATACGTTCCAATTGACGTAACCACAATCCCGTTATCTCTTTCCTCTAATGTCATATTACCGAAAGATCATCATACCCTTCCGGATCACCTAAGATCACTGCCGATTTTTAGTGGGGGTAATGTTGTACAGTCTTTTATTTTCTATGTTGTATTTTACATACTTTCTTTATTATTTTTGTTGTTTTTCGTTTACTATAATTGCGTGTTCAGTTCAATATAAAACAGTTGAAAGGCCAAAATGTATGGATTTTACGAGTTCTAGATGTTTTACCTTTATGTTTTTTCATCAATTAATCTTCCGGCTGAATGAAAACGTTATGTACACCACTATATTGGTGGACAATTGTCTAGTATATAGTATATATATTAGAAATTCAGAATTTACTTCCTTAAATTAAAGTAACATAGCATATTTTTATTAAAGAGTAACATTCATTCAATCTATACATTTATCCAAGAAGCAAATTTTATAACAATTCTAATGTCAAAGGTAACTCTGACTACCATTATCTTTCTCATTATAAGCACTTTTTTTATGTTGTATGACTACACCAATGCCACCATGAAGTGTAACTGAGGAAATGTTCAACCTTCAACGAATCTTAAAGTAAATGAAAAAAATGAAAAGATTTTAAAATCCGAAAAATCATTTTGAACTAATAATTTGGCTTCAAATGTATCCTTGTTATTTTATTCAAACTGTATATCATCCATTCAGTTTACTTCCGCCTAACAAGTCTTCTTCCTGACCTTTCTTACATTTACCTTGACATTTGAAAAAATAGCCAATCAGGAGATAAGAGGTCCACAGCGTAATCATAGTTTTTGATTTCTTTGTTGAATATAGCTTGTAACGGACCAATCATATTTTGTTTTTATTGAACGAGTCAGTTGTTGGCGCTCTATCCATCAAATGTCATGATTGGAGATGATAACTCAGTACCTGCTGCTGCGCTTTTTTTTCAAATAACTTAAGTGTCAAATGACATCAGAGGTGTTGGCAATAATCAACTGACATTATCTGTCTTTATTTTAACTTTACAATGAGGCTTTGAGCATCTACAACTTAATATAAAAAGTAATCATTACAGCAGTTGAAAATGAATCTGTTAAAATTTTGATTAAAGGGTTCTATGTTATTTGTCTTTTGATCTTTGACTTCTTTTTTGTTTGTTATGGCGTTGTCAATTTTTTTTTCGACTTATGTTTGAATATCCCTATTGTATCTTTCGCTCCACTTTTAAACATACAAACGCCTACATCAAAATGAAATGCGTGTTCAATTTTGATAACATTGTGTTGATGAGTTGCTGTCATTGCGGCTACCTTATATTGGTTAATATTTGTGATTGTGGTTAAGGACGTTATTATATATTGCCTAAAATTGAAAATGGAAATAGGGAATATGTCAAGGAAACAACAACCCGACCAAAGAGCAGACAACAGCCGAAGGCCACCATTGGGACTTCAATGCAGCGAGAAAATCCCGCACCCTGAGGTGGTCATCAGCTGGCCCCTAAATAAAATTGTTTGCTAGTTCAGTGAAAATGGACGTCACACTAAACTCCAAAACATATAATTGAACAACTAAAATTTTAAAAAAAATATACAAGAATAACAAAGGCCAGATGCTCCTGACTTGGGACAGGCGCAAAAAAATATGTTTTGTGAGATCTCAACCTTCCCTTATACCTCTAGTCAATAAAAAAAAGAAACACATAGCAATACGCACAGTAAAACTCAGTTTAAAAGAGGTCCGAGTCCGATGTCAGAATAGGTAACAAAAAAAACTAAGCAAAATCATAATGATACATAAATGAACAAAGGACTACTAGCAGTTACTGACATGCCAGCTCCAAACCTCAATTAAACTGATTGAAAGATTATAACTTCATCATATGAAAATCAAGCACAATCCCTCCCGTTAGGGGTTTAGTATCATAACCATCATAAAATATATGAGAAGAACATAACCCGTATCATGCCAACAACTGGCTTTAGAATAAATGTGCATGTTTGGTTAGCTTGTGTTTTGCTGGATTGTTGTCATTGAAGTTAAATACAGAAAAACACATCCATCCTTTACAACACATTTTATTTCCATCCATATTCACCAATATTTAAAATCAGAATTCGTAAAGGACAGTTGGGTTCTCCTCATGGCAAACAATGCACCGTTTGTAGACTAGGGGGGGGGGTCTAATTTTTATTTACTTTGCATCGCTGTATATCTAGAAATTAGACTAGTGCGAGTATAAAGATAAAATATGCATGTTGATTATATGAGTCATGAGTAGGGATCAGATGCCTACCCGATATTCCTCTCATATTTTTTTGCACTATATGTAGATAGTGACTTTTGGAAAGTGATTGTGTATTCAAAAACCTTTCAACTTTGAAGACTGAAGCTACATATGGACACGAACATCTAATCTGATCCTTACAACTAAAGATGACTACGTCAAATTCCAACTGAACTTCGACTTTTATCAGATAAGTCCCGTTTAGTTTCGGAAGTCATATTGTTCTATCTAATCATTGTCTAGGTAGAATGCAATTTAAAGAAAATAACATACTTTGATTAGCAAAATCATATTTCTCCATAATATATCAGGGTGTGTAAGATAGGTAAAAAAAACGTGTTCTGATTTTTTATTTGTTAAAAAACAAACATATAAAAATAATGCAAAATAGATAAATATCAGTTATAATTATTATATCAGACATTTAACGATGTAACACACCAATAGATTAACTAACATCTACTACAATATTGATCCTTACGACTTTCTCATAATGGCACTAATGATGAGTAATATTTATGCTGTATGTATATCCAAACAAACAATTCATGCTGACACGAGAAACCTACTCCTTTTAAAAGATCTTGGCTTTATATGTTCTCTTTCAACAACAACTCCTGATCTTTTATATTGCTCTTTGGGAATTTGTTTATTTACTATAATATCAGATCTTTTTACTTTTAGTTATATTTTCAGATGTTCATTTCCATCAAGAGTTCTTTGATGTCTTTCCGTAAAACAGTGATTTAAAGGTGCAATTTGACAAGGTATGTTTTCAATATCTTCTTCGTCAATTATGGAAGAAACCTACAAAAATGTAAATTAGTGATGAAACGCTAGGTTCAAGGACGGTGTTATTTACGTTTAGAAACACGGAATTATTTCAAAGTTGCTTATTCAAATAAAAAAACATAAGTAAAACATGGATTTTTAAATATTGAGTTCATATGAATAGCCCATAAAATTACTCACAGTATATTCTAAACTTCTTTGTGGATTTTTATAGACTGAATTTAAGGTAAACTCATACTTAAATAAAAATAAAAAGGACAACTTAACTATTTTAAGGGCATTAGCTGTCAAATTCATATCAACCGATGCAGACTTCCAATTCGATGTATTTCATTCATAACTTCTCATGAAAACGTAAACAATGTCAACATTTTGGACTGGACGTCATTTAATTACGATTACAAAAATAATTGTTTTCGCGCTCAAAAGTAGCATTGATAGAGATACATGTTTAGAAACTTGATTTCCAGAACGAAAATAAAGAAACAAATTTAAATTCAAATCCAAAAACAAAGATTCCCGTTACTTTTCTAGTTATCTCCCTTACGTATCAATTCTTCACTTAAAAAATAAATACTCCGTCACAGTTGATAAAAGATTTCTTTCTTTTTAGGACCAGAAACATATGATTGTTTTCTATGGTATGTTACATAGTCCATGAAGTGTCCAGCAATAACAGAGATCAGACCTACACAACGACCAATTAAGACAAGTCATACTGTTCACCCTTTCTGCAGGGACCGTAATATTATGGCCCTTACCCAACATACAGTTATATGGCTTCATTGGCTCTCCATACTTTAAGCATGGTATTTACTTTAAAACTGATACATTGTCCGTCAATTTAAGGCTATTTATTGTCATGTTTTTCAGGTTAAAGATGCAATTTGAGCCAAAATACGAACTTCGAAAATTAAAATATGTCAAACTGGTATTTTCTTTAACGGGGTGAGCTTCCCTTCGATGCCTAGGACACGCAGAGGCCAAAAACTTCCAAACACAGTTTATACCCGCAAACATTAAACCACTCATCATTTTTATTATTCAAATGCACTTAGGATATGCCTACTTCCGGTTGCAGGTCCAGGTGAATTCAAAAATCGGAAGCATCGAAAAATTTCACATTTTTGGTGGAAATGACCTCTTTTAGACTACCATACTTAGATCACAATCATTCCAATTTTCGTCAATGTTTTTTACTGGTGTCTACTTTACATGCAGACTACAATGATATACATTTGTCAGCATCACTTCCAGGTCAAGAAATAGGACATAATTCGTCATTTTTGTCGGTTTTTGCACCAAATGACCAACTTTAGGCAGCAAAACCAACTCCTCACACCAACCATCCTTCCCCGTGATCTCTATCTTTTTTGCCATCAATATGCATTAGCAGCAGGGTATAGCTCTTTTTACATAAAAATTGCCTTATTTTTGCAAATAAATGAAAATTACACATTTCCTGAAAACAATTCACCATAGTAAGAGTTCATTCTGAATAGCAGGTTATTTTCATTTCAATGTTTGCGCCTATATAATTCGATGGCTTACGCTCAGAGAATAATCGATAGGTACGTTACCCTCATATAAATAAATAAATAAATAAATAATATAAACAGATAAAATATAAATAGATAAATATAAAAAGGCACGTGTAGTAGTAATATGAAGATTTATAATATTTGATTATATATCATTGCTATGAAAGTAATCACCTTTTAACCTGTACCTGATAAAAAAATGTTTTTTTGCAGGTATAATCGGTCAGCGTAATTGGTCCGCCTATTGATCGAGTCACTACTTTCACTTTTGCATCTGATATTCTTGTCAATAATTTGATGTGCTCACCACAATGGCAATCATCTCCAACTTATGAGAAATATTACGTCTCATGTATGTAATCTTAATGAGGCAAATACTTGTTTTGCAAGTCAATCCTGTATCAATGTTTTGGCTAATTTGACAAAATTGAACAAGAATGGATGTTTATGACAACTTATTTTGGAAAATTTGGTTCATATAAATGTATGACACGAAAAAAGGTAAAACTTTTTTATTAACGTTATACAAGCTGTCGAGATAATAGCATTTGATTTTTTCCCCTCCAGTATAAAGAGGACACTAAAGCAATCTTCTCAACATTTGTTTTTTAATTTTCATGTTGTTTACGTATAATGATTTTAATGAAGACACTTGAATGTTGAATACGATAAGTGATGCTTTACATTTAACAAAAAAAATATCAAATGTCTTACTGTAAATTACTAAAACTATCAAAACAAGAAATTTATAATTTACATTAAAAAAAATAACATTTACCAAGATATTGAAAAAATCCTACAAGGTATATTAAAACCTATAACCCTCTTCCTGCAAAACAATTCCGTAAAATCAGAAATCATTTTGCAATATTTTACATTATTTTCAAAATATACTTTATATAACATTGATGCTCTTGCCACAGCCTTTAAAAATTACGTTTTTGTTGTTCGTGTTTATTTTTTTATTTGCTCAAATATTATTTATACCGACCTTCTTTTTTCCACACTTTTTTTTTATCTTATATCTGTAGACCATGAGCAATATAACCAATGCACACTTTAAAATAATTGCAGCGGTAACTCCAATAATCAAAGCTGAAACCAAAACAACAAATAAATGAATTGCAAATACTGTAATCGTCGTTATTTTAATATTTCCTCAGTACCCTGCAACTAAATCGTAGTTTAGCTGATTCATAGAAAAGGTCGCACAGAATAGTTTTGATGCAAAGTTTTTGATAGATTGACAGGTTAACTTCGGTATGTTTTTCTACATTTCTATATACTTCATTCTTTATTTGGCCTTTTTACTTTTTTATTAAGTCGTCACTTATTAGCCTTATGTAGACGAAACGCGCGTCTTGCGTACAAAATGTTAAACCTTTATGATGAATTTATTTGTGTTCTTTTCATTACACTAAAACAATTCCGGTAAACAAATTAGTATACAGTTAAGCTTTGGTTTGAAGATAACAAATGTTTTGTTTGACAAGTGGAATTAACTGTTACTCGAATTCGAACAAAGCGGCAAGAAACAAAGAAGATATGAAAAATCAAGTTAATAATACTATACAATAAACCGATGACTGGCTTCACAATCTACAAATAATTTTTAAACCACAAAAAATAAGATATTTTGAGTAACAACATCAAATACAATCTCTCGAATCACATTTTTGTAACGTTTTTTGAAATAACCATCGAATTTCTTTAATCTTCAAAGAGAGTGCTCATTTGAGTGAAACATGTTAAGTAATTAATATGTGTTTAACTGGTATTGAATGGGTGGTATATACAAATGCAGTGAAGAATTTGATTATCATTTTCTAAATGTTTTAAGTAAAAGAGATAAATGGATAAGGGCAGGTGCATTTAACACATACCATGATACCGAATGTCGATTTGTATCTTTTTAAGACCCAACACCTATCCATTTTTGTCTATTATTATCACTATTGTTGAATTGTATTTTCGGAATTATATTTGTTTCAATGATTAGACTATTATCAGTGAGTTCAAATACTCACTATATTATCTTCAACGATGGACAATGCAAGAAGCACAATTAATAAGAGTAAACAGATAGTGGATTTAAACGATGAATAAAATATTTGAACAAAATTGTACGCTCTTTCATTATACTGTACGAAAACTCCAATTGAACGATTATGAATCTGATAATTAGCCGAAATGTACAAAATAAGGCATCTTTGAACTTTTTTTTTTTATAAATACATTTATGTTACTGAATTTCTAGGAAAATACATAATTCGAATCAAATCACGATTGACACTCATACTTATTCATGAATAATTATTTATAAAGACATAAAGTAAAACAGATGAAATCACCCTATATGATCATAAAAACGTTAATATTTTTTTTTGACATGCATACAATGGCAAATGATAAACCAAAAATCTGTTCTCACGGAAAAATACCAACAACACACAATTTTTAAAATAATCCGAAACGAAAAAAGGAAAGAATCCAACTTCAAACTACAAATTTTTACTCCCAATATTAGCTCTATAACTCATCTATACAATTCACCCTATACGAATGTCGTTTTCCTGTAGATGAAGGCGCAATTCATCAATTAATAAAAATTATATGATAATTTTCTAAGTAAATTCTCTTTGTGAAGAAATCATTATCAAATTTCAACTAAAAAATTCAGCAAACAAGTAAACAATTGAATATGATTTGGTGATTCCATTTCAACGACAGATTTCAGAAGCGTTGAATCTAGAAAAAAGAAACTACTGTTAACGAAACCTCCAAATATCTGATTTTATTGTTTTGCGTTCTTTGATATAAAGATGCCTAATAGTCGTCTTATCTATAAATTTACTGGTATTTTACTATTCCCGATTGATTGCATTTTGACTGAGTGTGGATTTGCATGACAAATACTGAATGCACTGTAGCAGATAAATAAAGGCAACAGTAGTATACCGCTGTTCGAAAACTCATAAATCGATAGAGACAAAAACAAATCCGGGTTACAAACTAAAACTGAGGGAAACGCATCAAATATAAGAGGAGAACAACGACACAACAAAAACACAACATTAAAATGTAACACACACAGAAACGAACTTTAATATAACAATGGCCATTTTCCTGACTTGGTACAGGACATTTTAAGAACAAAATGGTGGGTTGAACCTGGTTTTGTGGCATGCCAAACCTCCCGCTTTTATGGCAACGTATGGCAACGTCAAACACAACACCAAAACGACACTTTCCTTGTCGACGCACCTAGTCTTGATACTTCTGGCCTTGCGTTCATAAACATTTCAAACACAAATTTTGTACTCCAAGTACTGAGTAAAGTTTTATGACCGAGAGCCATGGAATGTATGCATTCTGGTTTTTTTCGTTGTGTTGCATGTTTTACTTTTCTTTGAGTTGTATATTCTTTGTGGTTGTATGAGATTTGAACACCGGTAAATTAATTTGCGCCTCTGATTTCCTAGATGTGAACTATTCTAGCACTTTTTTACTATTACTTACACCCGATACTAGTTGGAGACGATTGTTCCTCAGTAACTGTCACATTTTTTTCTGTTGTTTGCATGGGAACAATAGAAGGAGTCTCTTGAAGACTCTCACTGGCTGAAGATATTGTTGTTAAAGTTCCATTATCAATCATTTTTTTTTCTGTTGAGGTCAATCCAGATAAGGGCAAATTTTGGTCGGCTGAAGTATAAGTTTCTTGTTTATATAATGTTGTTCTCTCATTGGTGGATTCAGCTGTGGTGGCGTCAGTTGTAGTGTCTGCACCAGCAATGATAGAAGTTGTCATTGATTCGACATAGGTACTTTGAAAAGAAGTTATCGCAGCCTCTGAACTAGCGTAAGTCTCTGTAGTAGTGACGATTGGCGTCGTTGTACTGTCTGTTGTGACGATTGGCGTCGTTGTTCTGTCTATTGTGACGATTGGCGTTGTTGTAATGTCTGTTGTGACGATTGGCGTTGTTATTCTCTCTGTTGTGACATCAGTACTGTGACAGTCTGGTAAACTAGTGAAAGGTACTGTAGGTGTATTTCTTGCTTTACTTCCACAAGATAATGTTAGTTCTGCGCCGGATGAAATTCCTGTATTGAAAATATCGGTTTAAACTTATGGTCGCATTGAAATTGCTTTAAAATAGCTTCTTTAAAACAAATGCCCTTAAATACAATTTACAAGGAAACAAGGTTAAGCAATATCATAAAACAAGGAATTACTTGAATCTGGAATGATTTTTAATTCTAGAAAATTGACCAGAAATGTATGATGACACTAACCCAACTAAATAGGGTTAGCCATACGCACATGGCTAAGATAATTTTACTTGCACTGATAGTTCAGTATGAACTAACTAACCCACCATAGTCATGCATGCATTACTAACCATCCTAAATTTCGTTAGTTTTCCTCTTACATTTCGTACCAATTTTCTAGAATTCAAAATTATTCCAGATTCAAATAATTCCTTGTTATAAGTTGAACAAGGAAACATAATCGTGAAATCCAAAGAAAAAAGAAAAGAAAAATAGCAGTGGTTTCGCTAGGTTTCATGTTGCTCAATCTTAAGTTTTCTGTACTGTGTTATTTTGGACTTTTGTCTACCTCTTCGCCCTTCTTTTAGTCATGGCGTTGTTAATTTCTCGACTTGTGATGTTTTATAGTCGCTTAATATCCCCCATTATTTAGTCAGCCTTATTTGTCTACTTCAATAAACAACGCATCCGTGAAAACTAATTATTGACATAAATATGCAATTTACCTTCAAGTAAGATGAAATAATACCCATCAATCATCCATAAGTTATCAACAATCTGTATCTGTATGAAATGAGAGGTACTGATATACAATGTGGTAGGTAGGTAATCATTGTTATCACTACAATCAAATACCATTACTGTGCTGTCATCTGTTATTGTTATACTTTGGTCACAAGCTGTGCTGGTACCAAGCCTAAGATCTATAGCTCTTACCCTTATTCTAGAGGCACATGAAGCTTCTAAAGAACATGTGCAGGTTGACAATCCCGATAAAGGTAATGGATATCCAGAGTTCAAGAGGAAAACTACGTTGTCTTTTGTGTTTAAACTTGTGCAAGGATCTAGACCTTGATCTGAAAAGCAATCAGCAAAATATATAAAATGCTAATAATAAAACGAGGGCAAATATAATACATTTAGATAAAAAAGATAATTATCAGATATTGGCTCGCATCTTTTAAGCATAATCTAAATTTGTTTGTTTGGGATGGTGTCTATAAAACATTTAAATTATAAAAAAGATACTTTATAGATTTGCTGTCTCGCATGTTTATACATAAACAAGCGCCTAAACCTTGCTATGAACAGCAATTTTTAAAGCCAATTGATCCAACAAATGTTAAAACACGTAATAATACATATATTCCTTTAATGGAACTATGTTGATTGCAGATTTTTGGTAGTCTCTGATCAATTTATGCATTGCCCTTTTCACGACTATGGACAATTAAGAGCTTAATATATTATACACACATCTGTCTTCTGAAGACCGTACACTTGTATGTTAACTCATAGATGTCTTTTATTGGATTTTTCGTGGTTTTTTGGTCGTGTTCTCTTATTCAAAGAATTTCTTAGAAATTACTATTAAAAAGATAAATGAAAAAGATAAATGTCAGATATTTTGTTTATATTAAGTTTAACCATCATTCTTTTAGAAGTCATTCATATTTGCCATTTAGTGTTCATCATGTCGATCTAAGAGGTTGACATGGAAAAAAGAGAGTGTATTAAAATTAAAAAAAAAATGTCTGTCAAATACAACACACTTGTCCTTTTTTTTAAACCGATTAGTTGCTATTATGTTATCATTTTTTTTGTTTCAAAAGTGTGTATAAACAACTACATACTAGTGCAATACTGCAATATTTATTGTCGGTCTGGTTAATCATGGCAATATTAGTGAATACGATTATCTATGCTGTGTCTCTTCTCATAAATCACGGTAATATTAGAATAAAATAGTAATATATAGTTTGGAAAATGTCTGTACCAAGTCAGGAATATGACAGCTGTTATCCATTCGTTTGATGTGTTTGAGCTTTTGATTTTGCCATTTACTTAGGGACTTTCCGTTTAGAATTTTCCTCGGAGTTCGGTATTTTTGTTATTTAATTTTTGGAAGCATTCAAATAAATTTCATTATCTTTGACCGTCATCATTTCTTGCCTGCAAACAAATTAAGCTTACTTGTTTGTCATATATGTGTTTACGTATTTAATCAGATCCTCAATATATTTGTTCTCGAAAAGATAAAATAGTGAAATATAATTCTTTTTGTACCCATGGCAACAATATACATCTCTTTAACATATAATATCGAATTAGAGTATAATAATGTCAAATGTGCCCTCACAATATGGTCCGCAGTAAAGTTTTATTCAATTTGATAGATACCTTCCCGAAACCAATGACATTTATCCATTAAAAGATATGAATAAACTACTACATACTAGTGCAATACTGCAATATTTATTGTCAGTCTGGTTAATCATGGCAATATTAGTGAATACGATTATCTATGCTGTGTCTCTTCTCATAAATCACGGTAATATTAGAATAAAATAGCAATATATAGTTTGGAAAATGTCTGTACCAAGTCAGGAATATGACAGCTGTTATCCATTCGTTTGATGTGTTTGAGCTTTTGATTTTGCCATTTACTTAGGGACTTTACGTTTAGAATTTTCCTTGGAGTTCTGTATTTTTGTTATTTAATTTTTGGAAGCATTCAAATAAATTTCATTATCTTTGACCGTCATCATTTCTTGCCTGCAAACAAATTAAGCTTACTTGTTTGTCATATATGTGTTTACGTGTTTAATCAGATCCTCAATATATTTGATCTCGAAAAGATAAAATAGTGAAATATAATTCTTTTTGTACCCATGGCAACAATATACATCCCTTTAACATATAATATCGAATAAGAGTATAATAATGTCAAATGTGTCCTCACAATATGGTCCACAGTAAAGTTTTATTCAATTTGATTGATACCTTCCCGAAACTATTGCCATTTATCCATTAAAAAATAAAAATACAAATCAAGTACTTTCGTCTGCATCGAAAAGTTCGCGGGAACAATGTGTTAGGAAACATAGCATTAATTTCTGAACCAATATCCGGAAGGGACATAAGTAATGTATTACTACCTACAGCAATCTAAAAACATTAGGATCCTACATGGTTTTACTTACCGGAAATACAGTAGTAGTATAACGTCATATAATTAGTTCTTGCTAAATACACATACTGATTACAAGTTGTTGTTACCGACGCTACTTGTATATTACATAAAGCGTTCCCGTTACATAGCTGATAGTAACTTCTGTAGGTCGATCCGACATAAAGTATATAACAATCGTTTGAATCGTATTGACAGCAGGTATCTGGTGTTACTGCAGCATTAAATAAGGTGATCTCTGTAGGACATGATGTACTCAATTCCTTCGCAAAGGCATAAACACCAACGACGGCTATTTTCTCTCCAATCGCACAAGAAGGTTGAAGGGAATTTTCCAGCCCTGTGTTCCCATTACATGCAGTATAAAATTTGAGTTGTATTGTCAAAATACCTAAATATAAACGATTTCTATGAACACAAGACTAACGAACGTTTATTTTAAATCAATTTTAGATTGCATGTAAGTTACGTAAGCGCGTCATTAATTGTGATATCCTGTGGTGTTTGTCGTTAATGGAATATGTTCGTTGTTGATCTGCGGTTTGCATGTTGTGTCGACTATTATATTATTTGTTTGTGCGTTTCTCTGTGATGAATGTTCTTGAGTGTGTTTGTGCTGTATTTCTGTCATGTAGTGTTGTCATTTTAGCGATATTTTTTTCTTTGTCATAAAACGGGAGGTTTGGCTAGCCATTAAACCAAGTTCACCCCACCATGTTTTCTTAAAATTTCCAGTAACAAGTCAGGAATGTGGCAGTTGTTATCAAATTGTTCGTTTCTATGTATGTTGGCGTTTGTTTTTGTTGCACTTCAGTGTTCCTGGTGTTCCTTTGTTTTCCTCTTGATGTGTTTCCCTCGGTTTTATTTTGTAACCAGGATTTGTTTTCCCTCAATCGATCAATGACTTTTGAACACCGGTATACTACTGTTTATTTAAAGTAATTCTCTCAATTTTTATAACGATTTTGTTTTGGCATATCGAACCATTCAATAACCTATGTAAGCATGTAATGACTTAATCGATCTATTTTTGGCTATGTAACGTTGAAACTATTCATATTTATAAGGGCTCAAACTAGTTCGCAGTCATTTTGGGTAAAGGCATTTAAATATACCATGAAGCTATAATCCTCATCTTGCAACACCCTTAAGTACAGAAAAAGACGACTGCTGACAACTAAGATTTGTATCATCTTGTGATTGGGATGACAAAATTGATGGTTAAGATATTATATCTATTCCCTCCTGAAGGACGGTGAATGTGGTAAATCTTTTTAACTCTGCTCCTCTGTGTAGATGGAGCAATGCTTATCGTTATTATACATCAAATACTCTTCATGATGTCTCTTTAAGTCGTATTCTACCTTTGATACAAACGCAATAGAGAATACATTGCGTGCGATTCGCAACCCTTTGGAAATTAATTCAAATTGTCTTTGTACAAATTTTGTATGAAATCCCTGCTACAAAAGTTCATTCTAACCTATCCTTCCTCACATTTACCACATCAGATATAGCCTATCACCGAATTTTCACGCCAGTTGACATTAGAAAAGATGAGTTAGGGGTAACAGTAATTTACCGATGTTCAAATCTAGTTGATCTATTAAAAAAATCCAAATTGAAGGAAAAAACTCAAAACTGAGGGAATCATGTGATCAGTTCGAAAAAGGACGCAGCGATAGGATAAGCGTCTCCTGCTATGCATCCATTATACGCATGTAAATCCACATTAGGGCAACATGTCACTATCAGGAATAGGATACAATCGGTAAATTTATAGATCAGACGACTATTCTGGAATATAATGATCTTAGACCACGAATACATGTCGCTATTGAATTGAGACACACACACATCGTATTGGTCAACTAATTCGTGATAATGACCGTAATACTGATGTAGTGGCGATTGGGTCATTCTTCCTGATAACTATAATATAGTAGTTTTTGTGTCAGGAGCTCACCCCCTATGAATGAACTCCGAATAGAGCAAACTAGTACGAGCCTAGTGTATGAAAAGAAAACTACGGGCATCGATGATTTTTAAAATAAGTTTTGATGCAAACAGTTGAGGCAATATCCTTCATTAAAAAAAAAGACATATCTAAAGTTTTACCCTCCTTTAAAAATTAATCCGTTCTAAAATCTCTTATACTTGTAATACATCTATTTCAAAACGTTTCAACTTTAATAATAAAAAATGTTGCAAGGTCTCAAATTCGACTTCTTCAAATCTGTACAATCGACTTTCAAACGAGAACAACTTTATAGACGATTTCCTTCTTTGAAGAATTCATAATTTTGTTTGAAAATTGATTCCAGCTTTCCAATTAAATTTGAAATAAAGGATACAACAGATAAAGATAGGTCTTCTTATCTACTTCTTAGATAAAAAATTTTTGAAAAATATCTCAAAGAGCATACGATTGTAAAAGTCTTGCGTTTCTTATCATGTTTTTCTTGATATAAGGTTGCTGCGAACAAGGACGTTATTGAACGAAGGGTTATAAATAATAAAGTTTAAAATTTAAAACTTCCGAATATGGCGAGTTTGATATTTTTGAAATATCTTTGTTGCAGTTGACCACGAATATGTTCGCTTGTGGTAGCCGCAATCACGTTATCAATTGTGAAATCACCGAATTCTTTACATGCAATGAGTAACAAGACGAGTCTAACTGCTTGACCAGGAAATGCCTACCATTCGACCGAATATGAGTTCAACCCCGGTTTTTATATGATTCGTTCTTTTCAATCCTAATATTTTTGTGTTGATTTTTCGCCATTTTATTGTTTTTTTGACATTATACGAAAAAATACCATTTTTTCTGAAACCAGCAGATAATATTTATTACTGAAAAATGGTAAACAAATTCATTTTTTCCAGAAAATTCTCATACACGATTTAATGGATATTTGTAAGAGTTTTTAATAAATGTCTTGAGAATATTTTTTAATGTTTACAATCCAATATTAACAATCAATTTCCACCTTTCCAATCATTGACACTAAAAGGGAATCTTCGGAACATTTTCCCAAATGGATACACCTGTATTCTTGCATAGACGTTACTACCCAGGTGGTCTTATGCAGGCCAACATATGTATGCATGTTTCAAACTTAAAGGTGAATAAAAATGATTACTTTCGAGATGTTTAAAATGATGTTAACTATATTTCATTCTTAAAGAATTGATAGATTTAACAATCATCTAATTTATATGTTTTTGTTAAAATAAATTTAGTTAAACATAAATAGGATTTTTAAATATGCCTCCATACTTACGTTTAGCAATAAATAAAAAGTTACTAAACTATGGTAAATAAGAAATTTTATTTCCTCTAGATTGATGTTTTTTTTCCAATTGATCCTAACATACCTTGAAATAAGAGTAAAACATATCCAAAAACTACCACACAGGGCTTAGACATTTCTGTCAACAATTATAATGTATCCAAACATATAAACAATAAATACATGAATCTGCATTTTTTTTAAATGCACACAAAAACTAGTATTGAAAAGATAGTTTAAAGAGCATTGGTCTATATGATGCGTAAAACGAGTTAAGAATGGCCTTTGGATACAATTGATTAAGTTTGAATATTTAAATGTAATCGTACTATCCGATTGTTTTATGAAACAACTGGTTTTTAATGCCTTTATCATGAACTCAATCGAAATTTAAGCAACTATTTTGAACAATTTTACAACACAGGTCAGAGCTTTTTGAACTTAAGTGAATAAACTATGAAAGTGATGATTTCAAAATATGCACTTATTTAATAGAATAAGATACATCTGACCTGAAAAAACTATTATAACTGCAGGTGGTGAATGCATTGGAAATGCTTACTCTGTCGACATAAACGGTCTCACTCCTTTTGAATTTGATGTGATTCACTTAGGATTTGTTGGTTACTTTGATTTTTTCTTCTTAATCGATTTATAAACAAAACTACTGTTGCCTTAATTTAAAACATACTGTGCAATTATCTAATTGTCATTATAAGTTTTTGTTCAAATGCTATATAAAAGATCGGTCGAATATACCGAGATGTGTTTGTATTGGTACCCTAGACCCATCCATGTAGTAGCGTTCCAACTAAATCCATTTTCCAGAAATATGACTGATAAGTCATTTGTATAACAATATGGAAACAGTATGTCGACGGCTATCCTATCACTTTTTATATCTTACTTCTCTAAAATCATATTTACTCAAATAAAACAGTTTTGACGAAATACATTTTGGAAAAAAAAATAACTACACATAGGAGATATGTCACAAGGTCCGTCTAAGTTGCTACAAAACTAGAAAATGTCCAAACAATAACATAACTATATCATTTTAAAATTGTGGGCATTTTTGATGTCAGTTTAAATCCTCAGCAATGATTTTTGTGGGTTGGGTGTAGAAATGCATTATTCATCAGTAGTCACTGTCATTCACAAGATGTTTTTATTTTCTTATTGATTGTTCGGTCAAAAAATAATTGTTTCTGTTAATGATGTTGGTAATCCTTGATGAATCATCAATACATCAATACTTGTATTATATTTTTAAGGAGATCAGTAAAGCGTTATTTCCACTATGTTTAGCACAACCATTTTTAACAGTGGCCATGTTAATCTTTCAGTTAGAATTTAAATACTATCTTAAAGACATTCTCATTTTAAAAGAATGATTATAACCAAGTAACGTATAGCAGATTTCTTCATTATTTGAAACTGATGATCACAGTAATGAGCAAAGCTAACACTTGACTAACAGATTAGTGAAAAACAAAATTGACGTTAATTCTATAACGAGAGTCACCATTACTAATGAATCGTGAACATGAATTTGCATAGCTCTTCAACTGTTTCGGTTCTTATACATCCTTGGCTTTCAAATATCCGGCTTTGAGCGTTCCTGATGAAAATAAATCCAGATAAGCGCTTCAGAAGCATGAAATTTATTATGTGTTGTTTTCATTTTAATTCATTGATATTTATTATCTTACTATGAGTATGCTATGCTTTTAACTTGGATACCACTTTCTCTAATTTTAATGCTATTTTCACATTTCTCGATCGGTGCTAGAAAAATATTTCTCATCTCTAGAGAAAACTTTGTTCTCGGCAAATGATTGGTCGAAATTACATTATGACGTCAAATGTTTTGATTTCTTCTGAATTTCCTATGTGACGTCATGAAAAATGGCGACCATGCCTGATGACGTCACATATAAAGAACACAACTTTCTGCAAATCTTTGAAAAGGAAGGATGAACTTTGTTTAACTATCGTATAAAGTCATAAGAGAAACAGCTCTCACCACTATATCTCGTGTATTGCGAAGTTTATCCACTCTCAACAGTTGAATTTTAAATATTTGAGCCTCGCGTTTTGAATTTTAAAACGAAAATGTCTCGAGTGGAGAAATATCCTAACTCACTTGATGTAGTGGTGGAATCTATATGTAACATTGCAACAATAGAGCGCACTGTAAAATCGGTTGGAAAGGGCTAACGTCATCAGATCGGTATTAACAAAATAAAACTAATGACAAAAGATACACAGTACCAATCTTAGAGTACTTGCATTAAGTCACAGAAAGATAACATCTCAATTCCACCTACTAAATAGATCGTGCATTACAAAGCTTAAATATCAATCTGTACATCTCCAACGTATTAAGTGTTGTTTTAATTATTTAATGTGTATCCAAGTTAAGTAACGATTAGATATTTCTCATCAGTTGAAGCTGACTGACGACGGACGCAGTGATGAAGATGGCTAACACTTCCCCTACGGGACAGACATGTGAAAAAAACGAACATAATATTATCTTTATAACAATCTGTCTCTTCACTAGAAATGGTTTTAGAAGAAAAAACACAATTTCTGCCTAGTATATTACTACTCAGTCTGCTAGTTTTAAATGTAAAATCCTAAATAACATGCATCAGTGAATAAAGGTTGTCAAGAATTCTGCGATAGTTCATCTTACGTCATACTATCTTTGAAAAGAAACATAAAGATAATCGTTTGCCCTTGTTATAAAAATTGCAATATCCTTTAAACATGTTGAACATATACATGTACATATTTTGGGTACTAGCAGTTCAAATCTTTATTTTTCTATTGTGGAGTACTATTTAATGCCAACTCTGACTTTTTTTAATTAATTTTAGAAATCGCCATATATGTTTTATTGAAATCCCTAATTTAATTGGATGACAACAATCGTGAGGCACTCCAATATCAAATTGTATTTCCGTATAAATACAACAGCTAGACAATGACAATGTTAAAAACAATGTATAAAAAACAAACAAAAAGCTTGATATAACTGAATTTCGTGGTTGTAGCATAACGTTATAGTTGTGCGCACTTTTTCAAAATGAAGCGCTTCCGCGTTTCATACAAAATGTGCTTCGGTCAACGCTTTTATACTCCAATAAAATTATAAAAAAAAGCATTCAATTCTTAATTAACCCAAATTTTTATAAACATCTAAATAAAGTTTAAAACTGAAACATAGACACAAACTTCATTGACACAGTTTAGGGGTTTCATTTGAAATGTTGTTCCTATAAATTTACGACCGATTTATTAGGCAATGTTATCAACAAAGTCATAAGATAATGTCTATTCATTAGAATTCCATATGTACCAATTTTTGTTGATTTCGTTGGTAAAGATAAACCAAGAATTTAAATGTTCATCGAAGTATACATTTTCCATATAGTACCATTTGACAAGTGAACTATGAACCTTTACAGGAATAATTTGTATGATATATTTTGTTTATATATTCCAAGTTCATATATGACGAAACTTAACAACTTAATATGTTTTAATCGTGTATATTTCTGTTCAGAACATTCATATTTTTGTCTCATCACTTATCACGTTTGGTCTTTGGCAAACTTTGTGAGGGTTATTCCAAAAATGACTGCTGTTTATATGAAATTGGTACCACACTAATGTGCCCTATGGTTGTTTAAATTCCTGGATTGGTGCATTCATTTACAGCGCAATTGATGGGTATTTTAATTACTGCAATATTTGTTAAGTTTCTTTCTTAAAATTAAACTGGTGTAAAATCAAACATGTTAATATAAATAGTCCGTATCAACTTCACAAATAATACATGATGGTCTTGAAGTATATGTTCTGGGTACTGACGTTGTTTATCATCTTAATTACGTGTTATAGTATTTGTAAATTATTACCTTTAGTGTTTACTCCTATTTTGGTAATATCCCTTTGGCGTGGCCGGGTACTTATGCATCCCGTCATTGTGTTATTGTGTTATGGTCAATTTTTGTATTGTTGTTTTTCATTTTTGCTTATGTGCTTTGTCTATATGCCATTTTGTTTTTCTTCGTTGACATATTTGTTTGTTTTTACAGTGATTAAGATTATAACACAATGCTGACTGCTGTACCCCTATTTTTGACATTTTTACCTATTATGTCTGTTTGTTTTGTTCACATATTGTTGTCAATATAATGGAATTTTATGCGACTGTCATACAAGTGAAAGGTTTAGCTAGCTATAAAACTAGGTTTAATCCACAATTTTCTACATAATGAATTGCCTGTACCAAGTCAGGAATATGACAAATGTTTTCTATTCGTTTGATGTGTTTGAGCGTTGGATTTTGCCATTTGATAAGGGACTATCCGTTTTGAATTTTGAAAATTCAAAACGGAAAGTCCCCTCAAGTTTGGTATTTTTGTTATTTTACTTTTAACTAGGAAGAAAACTTTAAAGAAATCACAAAAATATCTACGTTTTACTTACATGTAGACCTCGTCTAAACACAATATACTTGTAAAAATTAAACACAATTTTATTTCCTCATAAAAATCGTAGTATGTGTAAATAGTTAAAAACATTGGGTTTATTTTTTGTTAATTAGACATAAAAAAAGTTATGCGGAAAATAAGTGTTGTATAATACTTATTATATCAAACGTTTGACGATACAACCGACAAAGGCTGTAACACCAACTACAGTATCGACCCTTACGGCTTTGTCATAACTACCTCGGGACGACTATGTTGAATGTACTTTTGACTCAACAAACATCCGCCAAAAATTGCTTCATGTCAGGAGCAAAGGCACTCTTTCCATAAGATCTCGGCTTAAGCTTAAACTCAACAAGTTTACTGTGCTTTATTTTATTATAGAATTTCTTTTGCTTCCTCTTTTTTTTCTTTTGTTTGACATTTTTATCATCAACAATTCCTGGTCCTTCGTTTTGCTCCTTATGTATTTGAATGTTAGCAAATCCAGGGTTTGTCTTCTGCATGTTAAATATTTCTTCTTTTGGTTCATTTTCTTTAATAATTCGTTGAGGTTGTTCACAAGGGCAGCGCTTTAAAGGCTGCAGCTGATGTATATGAAGTCTATTGATAATGTTTAAATTATCATCAAATAATGAATGGCATGAT